GCCTGTATTTTTTTTTTTTGCAAAGAATATAGATTGTGCCTATCGAATATTGATCAACGTATATTTTACCGCTTCGAATTCGCATGGATGCGTATTTTGAGAATAAAATGTCTGTAGCCTGAGCTCGCTTCCTATATCATGCTAAAAATTTATCAAGATCAAGACGTCTTTGTATACAGTTCAGGAGTAGTACGTCCAATAAGATCTTGATCCTGATGTTACCCTCAAACTGTTTGAAAATTAACAAACACTTATCGTTAGAATTGTGTTTTTCTATTGAAAAAAACGGAGTAGTCCTCGCTTGGCGATGTTGGCATAGTTGACCGCGTACTGGGGTCGATCTTTTGAGGTTGACCGGCCGCATGAGTTTACGTATTCGGTATCAGGAATTATACAACATTGTGACGGCATGACATGACCCCGTTAACCCCAGCCGCCAGCAGACACCTCGGCAAACATTGGCCACTGGACTTTGACGGTGCGTGTTGATCCGTCCGCCTCCAAACAACTCTCAGACACCCCCGGTTCGACCCGAGCCAGGAGTGACAGGCGGAAAAGGCAGGCGAGCGAGGGTGAGGAAGGAACTACCACAGTGCAGGGGCGGGCCCTCAGAGTGTCAAGGTGGCCAATTGAAGGCTGACACCTAAATGGCCCCTATGCCGACCGACTGTACCATGCCGCCATGGTCTATCGGAGCGGGCTGGGAGCGGAAGGGGGAGGAGGAAGGGGAGGGGTGCAGCACACTTTGCAATGCGTCCTATTGCCCCCCCCCCGCGATACATGCACCGGGGGTGTGGGAGCTGGGGAAGGGAGGGACACTGTACGCTCTGCAATGCGTCCCGTCCCGTACTGACACCGATGCGTGACAGCGGGTCTATGGCATATCCGGGTGCTGCTGCTGCAATAGGGATGCCGCATGGGCCAGTGCAGTGGGACACACGAGCGTCGCATTAGCCCATGATAAATAGGAAGTGTGTCATCGATGAACCAATCGAGTGTTGTTATCCTTGTAAGCGAGACCAAGGGGAACAAGAATACTCCTAATCGACATTCCGACAACTAAGGAAACAAAACAAAACTTATAAGATATTGAGGAAAATAGATGCCTATGTACTGACTACCACATTTTTTCTCAGTATAAGCAACGGCTGCAGCGACTATCATTTCAAGCAAGGAGGGAATGGGTAGAGCGACTTAGCGAGAATGTCCTTGTTTTCAAACGGCGTCACCCTTCAGAGCGCTACTGTGTCGTGGGCGGGTGTGTTCGTGGGTCCTTTCCTCGACGGCGTTGCATAACAAAGTCGTTGGGGGGCTGCACAGTGCACAGTCAGGTGAGAAGGGCGACCACAACTCCGGACACTGCGGTGCTGTAGAGCCTGGAGGGTAATGTTATTGGGCTGTTGTTGAGCAGACACAACTGTGTCACCTTGGCATTGTGTGCGTGTGGGTGCAAAGTGCTGTTGGAAGACGTAAATTTGACGGCGATTTTGTAAATTGCCACCTAATCACGCACACCAACACCCCAGATGGTGGCCCACGCTGGCCCCGTCCAGTGCTCGGACTTTTGGGGACGAGCACGGCTCTGACTTTCCCAGTTCGACGGTCTCTAAAGGGCGGTTACATTCCCGTTGGCTTCGACGTCCGAAGATGGATCGTTGAGTGGGAGCTTTGAGCTCATTTTGTTCTCATATTCTATCCATTTCCACTCAAACAAAACGTCATGATATTACCCCGCGACCGCCTGGGGGGGGGGGGGGTCGGATCGGACCCCCCTCCGTTTTTCTTGAATAACTCATGAACCGCTTACGCTATCTACTTGAAACTTGGCATACCTTCTCTCCCATCAATTTGACGTCTCCTGTGCAATTTTTAAGAAAAAAATGTATTTTTTTTAGATATATCGATTTTAGTGATGTAACTACATGGCGTTTTCAGTCAAAAAATGGTAAATGTTTAAAAAGTCACCAAAAATCGAGGTTTTAGGCAAATTGCAAATCAAGGACATGAATAGAAGCAGCTCAACGAGTTCTTTAAAATGGCTATCTCGGATTTTCCATAAAATGCGTTTTTTACCCCTAAAAAATCAAAAAACTATATTTTATGGAAAACAGCTGGTAAAATCCAAAATTTTGGAAATTTAAAAAAAAACGGAATACTTGTTATAGAGCTCTATTAGAACATAAGATGTCCCAAATTTCAACTTTCTATCTTGATTTTTGACCCCCAAATTGTAAAAAATAGCTCCAACATGCATAGGGCATGGTGACGTCATAAGCATTTTCGTGAATTAGAGGCACTTCTGAACATCGCATGTGAAAACAAATGACACCACTAGATTTCTGGGACAAAGCTCGTCTAGAAAAGTGCATTTTTATGTCAAAAATAAAAAGGTGAAAAATTGACTTTTTTCTTGGCCCTCGTTTAGTTATGTATGGTATAAACGATTTTTTATGCTTTCAATGCACACTTATCACCAGCAGAGTGACTTGGGGTCACATATAACCATTGCCATCGGATTCGGCGTAAAAAATAAGCCATAAAACATGTGTCGCACGCCCATGTAGCCGAAAGTGAAAACCGTGACCTTTCGTGACCTGACCTGACCTTGACCCGTACTTAGTATGATCCCTATACGCACATGGTACCTTCACTAGGCCTTTGAGGTCATTTTTGGTGAGTTTCGAGCAGCATCTATCGATTCCGCTGTCCGTAAGCCTAATCATGCAAAACCCCAGAATTTGACCTTTGACCTGACCTTGACCCGAAAGTTGACCTCAATCTTAAAATCTTAAGAGTGCTTTGGGAAGGGCTCGTAGAGACCTTTCGAACGCCGCCTCGCGGGGCTCGATACGACCATTGGTTCTCGAGATAACAGGGGGGGGGTCGGATCCGACCCCCCCCCCAGGCTGTCGTGGGTACGGAAATAGCCCAGGCGGTGCCGGGTTACCCTCTTGAAATAAGCCATAGCCTCCATGAACGTCTTTCCAGAGAAAAGAATGTCGACAATCTCTTCAGTCGCTTCTCATTTTAAACAAAATACAGAGCAAAATGTAAAAGTTTAGGGAGTAATTGAACACTTGGAAGTAACTTGGAGCATTAACCCGCGACCTGGTGGGGGGGGGGGGCTATTCTTTGCCCCCCCTCCAGACTTTTCGATATATCTCCAGAACCGCTGCGCCGATCGTCACCAAACTTTCAGTACCCTCCCGAACATCAATTTTACACATTGTGACCAAAAATTTTCCAAAGGCTATGATAGGTTGGCCGGAAATGACGTCAGAGTGACGTCATGTTCTGCCGTTTTCGACCCAAAAAAGGGTTTCGCGGGAAGAGCTGTCAGGCCTATAGCTTTGCAAATACAGAAAAATGATAAGGATATAAAAGCTGTAGAATCGACAGAGCTACAAAACTGCTTTCTCGGATTTTTGAATTTTTTGGATTTTGACCCCCAAAAATCAAAAAATATTTTTTTGATATAATAATCGTAAAATCCAAGAAGTTTTTTGAATTTCGCAAAAACCGGAATATATCTGATAGTCCTTACCGCCTTCCATCCACATACCAAATATGAGATGGATACCTCTTTTTTTGGCGAAGTTATAGCGAAAAAAACTGTTCAAAATTGATGACGTCAAATTTTCAAACTCAATTTTTAACAATTCTAGACCCCGTAGCGCAAAACAAAGACCACCATTAGACTCCCCGTGACGAGCTGCATCGAATAAATACCCATTTTATGCAAAACTATCAACTTTAAAATTTGACCTTTTTTGGCCTGACCTTGACCTGACCTTGACCTGAACTTCACCAGAAAGTGACCTAAGCCGTACCTGATAGTCTTATAACCAACATCATTGAGTTGGAAATGAAAAATTGGCCATAAAACATGCATCACACAACCCTAGTAAAGTTGGGCTCATGTGACCTGGGGCCGTATTCACGTCGACTTCGTAAGTCGATTTTCTTTCGTAAGTATAATTTGGTATTCACGTCGACACTTCTTAATTAAGTTTTTATCGACGGAGTTCACGTGAATAAAAAAAAAATACTTAAGAAGTAGGTCAAACTTAAGAGAATTCTTACGAAAATGATCGACGTGAATACGGCCCCTGACCTGTGAGTTGTGACCCTTGGTGACCTGACCTGTGACCTGACCTGGTATTGTCAGTGACCTCTAATAGCAACATATCTACTAGGCAACTGACGCCCTATCGCTGATTCTCGACAAAATGCGTTTTCCTCGGTGTTATAGGGCATTCCCTAGAAGACCCGTGAACGGTGAAACATTTCATCTTTGACCTGACCTGTGACGTCATCGGTGACCCCGAGGTCAATGAAATTTTGATTTCCCTCGACAAATTTGACAGGCCTTTCGAACGCCGTTTGAATTTTGTGGATCCGTCCAGTAGTTTCGGAGATATGAGGGGGGGGGCAAAAAATAGCCCCCCCCCCCACCAGGTCGCGTTATAAACAGACCCCACCAGGGCGCGGATTAAGCTATCAAATCAACGTGATCGCAGCACTTAAAAAGTCGATTTTGTAAATTGACGGATTTGCTGCGCAGTTAGATCAAGATGCATATTGAAACAACAAGTTGATTCTACACGTGAAGAGAGGCTATTAAACGTACAGTTTTAGGTTTAAATGTGCTGGCCATTTTTGCGCTATTGTTATTTCTTTTCCTTTTTGCTGATGCAGTTATCCAGCTAAATTCACGTTTTTTCCCGCTAACTCGGCGCCTCCAAGATAGATACAGCCGTAAACTGCGGACGTTTGATGGTTGGCCGTACCCTATATGATAGATACAGCCGTACTGTAGCCGTACGCTGCGGACGTTTGATGGCTGGCCGTACCCTTTATGATAGATACAGCCGTACTGTAGCCGTACGCTGCGGACGTTTGATGGCTGGCCGTGCCGGATGGACGGCTCGGGAGAGGGCCGGCCGGCCGGTCCGCCGGCTCCCGCCGTGGTTAACAGGCCCGGCCGGCGGCCCGGCCCACCAGTACTGACGGCGGCACTGACAGAGGCACACCGACCGTCGACCAAACGGACCGCGTCGCGCGCGGCTGGAGCGGTGTTCAGTAATCAGCGGCACAGAGCGGCTGCAGTAGTGACAGGTCACCGCGGCGTGTGAGTGGGGTGAGGGAGGAGGTATAGGAGATTTTATCAGAGGAGGTAAACCGCTACTGAGATCTGGACATCGGAACTGCAGCGAAGAAAGGTGAGATCTTCAGGAAAGTGGGCTGGATTGCTGGATGGACGTCCGCTGATACAATTGTGATGTAGTAAGCGAAGAAAGCTGGCTGTTGGATAGCAATCGATTTCATTTGTGTTCCATTGCACGCGAATGAAAACATCCCTTCATCTTTACTCAATAAGCACTTTCTCTTGCAAACATTTCATTGTGTGACTGGTGTACCTATTTATGTATCACATTCACAATATTGGTGTAGTTGAAATAATTTGCACATACATTAAACCAACTGGATAGTAGAATATCATAGTTTTAAATTCACCTTAAACTCTGTTTTCAGTTTTCAGTCTTGTCGGATCGCATAAAAGATGATACCGTGAAGGATAATCACACCCATGCGGGATTGCGTATCAATGCTATATGGATAGAACGCTGTTAAATGTCATTTTTGCCAGTAAATCTACCTTCATTCAATCCTCAGGTAATTAATTGTTCCCTGCCGCATCGATGCACATCGGGTCGGTACGACCCCCCCGCGTTTGGCCCCTGATGGAGCTAGAGCTTCGCGGAAAAAACGAGCGTGTTGCCCGTCACGAGAGGAAGCCAGTGATACCCAATTTTAAGGTCCTAGGTCATCGGCTGACCTTCCAGGTCAGGTCAATGACCCAAAAAATCGGGAATATCGGGACCTGTTAGAAAGTCGTAAAGCGTGGCTGCTAAGGGGTTTTCCGGGGTGCTGATCACGAATATCGTGTTAGTTTTGATCACAGATGATGTCGTTAAGCGTTTAGACCAGGTCGGGTCAGGTCAGGTCAGGTAGGTCAGGTCAGGTCATCCGGTAGGGGTCGTGACGGGTATTCGTAATACGTGTCAACCGCCTCTGACAGCTTCGTAACATGTTACGAAGGCACCAAGACTACTTCGTAAATGTTCAAATGGTTGCTAAATTCGAATTCAGCGAAAAAACTAGCCTAGAAACATGTAAAACTCGAAAAAGTGAACCGAGGTCACCAAAGGTCAATGACCTGACCTGACCTTCAGGTGACCTTGACACCCACTCTAATGCATGGGAGCAACATCAAATCACATGTTTGAGCGTTTGAAACCACGAAAAGCTTGCAAACGCGCGGCTAATGCGAGCCGACATGCGCCGAATCGCGATTTCGGCCAAACATGGTCACGGAAAAGAGGTCACAGGTCAAAGGTCATTTGGGTCAGGGTCATGAAATTTTCAGAGTAGGTGTAAAATTGATCAATGCGAGGGTACTGACAGTTTCGTCGCGATCGGCCCCCTTTTTACGTGAGTTATTCGCGAAAAACCTTAGGGGGGGGGGGGTTGCATCAACCCCCCCCCCCTGTGCCGGCGAGGGTTAACAACCATCGAAAGGGTGAATAGCTTGAGAGCCGATTTTAGCATCGTGCCAGACACTCGCGCTCAACTTGTCGCTGTGGTGCACGTCAAGATTTGTGAGTGGTGATCGAAAACTGCACGTGCTCCTCACAACCTTGGAGGCATCAAATTGATTAAATAAAGGTAACCCTGACATGCACGAAGTTATAAGACAGTATTGAAGAGAGGTGAATGCTATTACTGCGTGCAGAAGAATAATCTTTGCATTTTACAGGACAGCAGATGAATGAGAGATGCTCTGAAATTCCACCGCCCTCCTCGTACCCACCACACTCGTAAGATTTGTGCAATATTTCTGGAGGTTATATGCAAATTCAGGGCGTTACGTTTCTCCTTTGAACGGTATTCGTTGCTGAGTGACTTCTCTTCTGCTGCAGTTTACATAAACGGTCATTTAGTGGTGATCGTAAATCATATTTCACCAGAGTAGTGAGTACGTAAGTTATCAGAGAACAGTAAGGCAAACTTTCGCTGGCCTTTGAATCTCGTTTAGCCAGCGCTCGATCTCAATGCTTAACCAGCTCAAGTTACTAAAAGTTTATCTCTGCAAATTTAGTGTCCGGACTTGGTCACGTGCTCATATTTGTAACCATGATCAGAAGGTAATGATTATCATTACCCAATATCGTGTTCTCCTTGGCTGATCAGTGGCTCCCGCTCTGTATGTTTCCATTTTGATTCAATACAATTTAGCTTATGTCATATTGCCAAAAGCCGTGGTGTTATTTTGGTGTCAGATGTTTCCGGCAACGCAAAATAAATAGAATGGAACAACATTTCTGCTCCCAGCGGCCCAAGTTCTGTGAACGGGATTTTGGAGCATGAGGCTTGAGTACACTTGCGTTTCACGGCAAGTGGATGCAAAATGTTTTTTTTTACGTATTTATGTCTACTCTACTCATAGGCATTTCGGACCTTCCAGGGAATAAGTTGATTTATTCAGCTACAGAGTTGCGGGCAACAGCAGCGTTGTACATGTTGCCCATGTTCCGTGAATAGGAATGTACGGCACTTCGTAAGGTTTGCTAAGTTCTGCGTCTTAAACTGTTACAACCTTCGCCTTCGGTCTTGTTACGTCCAAGTTACTCGTATCATATCGTACTTGAATGAACGACAATCTTCATCCCCATCTTGATCACTTGTTCTATTTTTAGACTTTCTTGCTAATAAGGCTTTGTTTCTAATGAACCACAATTATTCGTATGACGTAGGATAATTTTGTTCACAATTATTCCAGGGCATAACATTTTCCGGTTTTAATAAAACTTCATCTAAACTACCTAATTGCATGAGGGAGACGCAACTGCATTGGCTCATGACATCATCCAGATCCGTTTAGGCTGCCGAATGTAAACATACCTGGAAGATCACACGGCTGTCCGTTCACAGCCCACATGTGATGACGGCCTACCATTGGGTACCGACTCGGATTACCGTCTGATGTGACGGTTGTCTGTCGCCGGACGCACCTGACACACCTCCGCGGCGCGGAGGGGCCGGTCCTGGCCGCGCCGATGAGCCCGTGTCGTCCGCACCGATCGCGCCCCTGCCCGCGGTCTCTCGGCTGATCCACGGGTTCACCTTGGCCCGGCCACCGGATAGACCGAGCGCTACCCGCTCCGCTCCTGGACCGGCGCGGCGCCGGCACACATCGTAGTAGCGCCCTAACACAGTGACGTCAACTTCAGATTAGTGACAAATCGAAACCAAGCCAAACGTCAACTAAACATTGGGAACATACTAAACACTAAATACAAACAGAATAAATGTTGAGAAATGAAAAGGATACGAAACCCGACTTTATGGCCAAGTAAATTCAGAGCATTTCATGCAATAGGAAAGATTCACGAAATCCAAAAACAACACCTTTGATATCATTATACAGAAATTTTGGCATCCGATTAATATCTCCCGTCATCCATCAAGTTCCACATGAATCGCATCTCGCTCAATACCTATGCACCAAATGTAAGATCGTAAACAATACGGGATACATACCTATGAGAGGGAAAGAATTATTAGATGAAGGTGCATTTTACGAAATGCGAGGAGCAAGATACGCCGAAGAGTAAACTTTTCCTAAAGTAGCATGTTTCGTGATTGTAGCCAAGTGACTTTTCTATCACTTCGTGGTCTGCTTTCTTTTCGACAAAACAAAGGGAAGAGGATGGTCATTCGATAATTGACGGACCAAGAAAATTGGCTTGAGACACTGTGGGAGCCTAATCTCCATAAATCTTCACAGATTTCCCAAACCCCTTTGGAGTTCGCTTTCATATGTCTTGCTGAACCGTTAAAAAAACTTGTTCTGGTGAAAGTCCGTTAATTTATTTCTATGCGACGTGTTTAACCCGCGCCCCACTGAGGTCTGTGTATAACACGCCCTACTGGGGGGGGGGGGGGGCTATTCATAGCCCCCCCCTCCTAACTCCGAAACTACTGAGCCGATCGTCAAAATTCAAACGGTTTCTGATAGCCCCGGAAAAACTGTCGAGCGAAACCTAATTTCATTGACCTCGAGGTCACCGATGACGTCACAGGTCAGGTCAAAGTAAAAATTATTAACATTTTGGCTTGTTCACGTTTTGGGCTCTGGCCGCCGTCTTACGAGTCAGATCAGGCTCATTTTTGGTTCACACACTCGTGAATAGATGCTCTAGATACCCTGAGGGTACCAAACTTGTACTTTGATTTTCAGGTCAAGGTCAGGTCATCACAGGTCACGAAAATATTATATCATGCGTCGGTCACGTGACACATGTTTTATGGTCCATTTAGGCCAAAGATTTCGAATTTGATGTCGTCTGTGTCATTCAAGGTCATTTTGAGTCGAATTTAGCTTAGGTCAGGTCCTTTTCAGGTCAAAAAAGGTCAAATTTTGAAGTTATAATTTTTCAACAGAAAAAAATGCCTATTGGATGCAATTTGAGCTTAGGAACACGATGGTGCTATTTATATTGGCGTACGATGTCGAATACGTGCTGAAAAATTGATTTGAAAAATTAATAATTGTGAATTTTTTGCAATAATGCGTAGGGGAAAGTGGGTGTATTGCGCCCTCCTAACCAATTGCGCCCACCAACATTCCCACGGATTCAATAGCATGTTTAGAATTTTGTGTTCGAAAACATTATTTTCACCACTGGATTGTTCATTTTATGGCCCAAACACTCTGATGAAGCCAATCAGCAAGGCTCATTACGCCATTAAAGATGTTATGGCGTTTTCTTAACTTTTTTGCAGTATTTTGAACCGTTGGCTATAAAAATTTACGATATTTGTGTGATTTTCAGAGTGATATTTAGAAAGAAAAATCCTTTTTTCATTGTATTTCACTGAAACCGTAAACTTCCTGCAACATCTTTATGATAACTTCTATGCTTTTATCAAAACAATTTTAATTGCGCCCATGGCAATTGCGCCAGGGGGGCGCAAATAGAATAATGGTGTAGCCATTGTATCACGACAGTATGAATGCATCATTAACTGATATAAAAAAAGAAGGAGTTTTATGTCAGGCAAGGGAGCAGCCCGCTGTCGTCAGTCCGCAAATTATCTCTATCGTCAAAATTATAATGCAGCTGCCATTTAGGCTACGACTTGTGGTGTAATTGACAAAATACGACATTTTCAACATGGACTCAGGCGTGAGAAGTGACAGCTATGATGAAAAAGTAAAAACTGATGTCATTAAGTTGTCAAAACTATAAAATTATTAATTTTGAGAGAACCGATTGAAAATTTAACTGTATAGGCGCATACGTTCACATATCTCTAGTCGGTTACAGTAAACGTTTTCGTTGCACTTTTACAAGCGTACGGACACATGTAAAGTTATCTACCTGGGCAAAAGACATCGCGATTTATATCCACATTTATTATTCATCCAGCCTGAATAACATTATAAATGTTTAAGTAAGCCGCAATGACATTAGACTGCCGGGGTGTACGCATTCCGTCTGATTCACTTAGCCATGTAAAATATAGGGCGCAATTGGGTTCTAATTGCGCCATCCCCCTGGCGCAATTTACAGCAGTTGTTGGCAAATGCGCCCTTTTGCATGTTTCTGAAAAAGCAGCTGTCAGAAGCAAACGAAACATTATTAATTGATCGGGAGGCTCTTAAATCGTAGCCAATGAGCTCCTCTTTGAAATGGTTACCAGTGCATGCTTATATCTCCAGCGGTTTTCTTGCAATTAGCGTTTTTCCTTAAGGTGGCGCAATTCACCCTCCTTCCCCTATAACTTGGCCATTTTTGAAGATAATAAGCTAAAACTTGCTAGAGTTAGTCACAATAACGCGTTCTATCACATATATTCCGGTTTTTTTCGAAAAGGCAAAAACTTTTTGAAAAAAATGTAAAAAGGTAAATTTTGAGTTTTATTATATAAAATTTCCAAAATGTTCAAAATTTCGAAAATCCGAGATAGCAGTTTGATAGCGCAGTCTATTCTTAGTCCTCTCATGCAAAGAAATTGGATCTAGCTTAAAAACTGAGCCCTTGGGAGCGATTGCCGTGGTTCAATGTTTTGCGTCGAAATCGGCCGAACATGACGTCACTCTGACGTCATTTCCGGCCGACCAAGGTGTCAAATTTATGCAGCCGAAGGTACGGAAAGTTTGGCGTCGATACGTCAAGCGGTTTAGAAGTTATTGCAGAAAAACGGGAGGGGGGCTATAAATAGCCCCCCCCCCCAGTGGGGCGCGGGTTAACGGTCACCGCTCCACGAATAATGAAAACGCACACACTCTCCTCTGATTGTTTAGGGCAAGGCGACAATGAACATCGTCCTCCATGAGGCTTGGCGCTGTCCATAATACGCACAATTTGTCACAAGGCCCTAAATGAATTTGTCAGAAAAGGCATGCTGTCGCGCCCAGCAACAAAGATCTGCTGTGGAGAAGGAAATATGAGCTACTCGTATTCGATGTAACCAAGTGGTCAGCTCTTGGTGTCGGGAAGTCCAGCAGTCACTCTAGCATACCAAGTCAACATTAAATCTGCACGACCCTTAAATGCGGCTTATGTGCGCATTAAACAGGCATTGATGTGCACAAAACATCTAAGTTTATAATTTAATCCAGTTCAACATATAAAAAACTACACAAATGCAATCAGAGCTCCGGAATATTTTTTGCAATATATTGTAACTATAGTCTGCTTTGCAGCATATCTATTGATCGAAAAGGTAAATAAGCGAAACAGCAGCGCAAAGCTATGTGCTCATTGAGGGAGGGACTGGGAGAAGCACGGGGTAAATTGTCATTAATTAATCTGACTGGCAAGTATGTGCCGGTGCCTTGAGGGCTCTCGGGACGGCCCCTTCCCAGTTCGATGACGGAGTCAGCCAATTTGTGAATTGAACACCGGTGTTCGAAAACAGGGTGTTAAATGCATGGTTCTTAGATCCACCCTAATACACATACTGGTGACTGAGGTGATCGACCCCTTTTCCCTCGTCTTGAACTCAGAAAGCATAAAACAACAACACAATAATGCCTCTCTAATAACACTTCTGGGTCTAATTTGCGGTTGTGCCTCCACTAGGTGGCCTGTTCGGGTGTTTTTCGGCATCCTCACACGAAAAACTAGCGTCGTAGATCAATTCCAAAGCGTCAAACACATCAGTCTACGTCACTCCAAACCAAGACCTTACGTAACACCCACGGACGGCTGGCGGTGGCCGTAAAACGCGACTAATTACGTTCCGTGTGAGCGGTGCCGGAACAATGAACGCCGGCTCACCTGGGTGGACTGGTGGCACAATCCACAGGCCGGAGCCAGCCCGTCTGATGCGTGAGCGGGGCATGTGACGGGTCACCCCTGACGGACGATAGGGGATGTGTCAGTTTGGAATGTGGATCATCAGGTCAGTCGTCAGTCTGTAGAAATGTGGTGTTTCGCACCAATATTGCCACAGCTGTGTTGCTGTATGGCCAGTGACCTCTGGACCGAGGTCATTTCACAGGGGACGGCGCCGCGCGGTCCGTCAGGTGCATTTCTGCACTCCAATCAAAACATGCTAACCTGCACTTGCTGAAAGTCTGCCAACAATAGCTCAAAACCTTACAGTATCGGCGAGACTCGAACAAAGCAACAGACCTCCAATGTAGACGAAACGATTTGACTGAAGGTGACTTTTGAACGCTATGCATAGTGCAAGACTAACAAGACAAGAAAGGCAGCTTTCGTGACAAACTTCCTTTGTTTGTTTTGCCTGCGTTGTAGTGGTTCACCGTCCACCTACGCCATTTCTAGTGAAGTCATCACTCGTTAGGTACTGGGAAGCGATACATGTGTTGCTATAATTTTGACCAGCCTTACCCGTATACAGCATCTGAACACACGGACCGGTTCTTCAAATAAAACCGGTTCACTCGATCTTCACCAACTTTTAATTGAACCCGAATTCCATGATTTCTCGTTTTTGTGCCTCTCCAGACAGTGTCCAGTCAGCTGACAGAGTGGTTTTCCCGATACCCTCCCCCCCCCCCCCCCCCACCGAAGCGAGACGACCCATTAGCGCCTTCACAGACGACTGGAAAAAGGTCCTCCTCGGCCGTAATACCGATCTCAGAAGACACGGCTGTCAAATGGCTGTTAGTCCTTGAAATGACACCGGTCTCTGAGATGTGACCGTCCCTCGGTATGGCGCCGGACCCGTCAGAAGACGCGGTCCTTCATGTGTCCTCTTTGACGTTGACCCGGCGCACTGGATCAGTACGGTGATCTGTGGCCCTTTCCCAGGTGACATCCACAGACCTCTGTGCCCCTATGAGGGTGTCCCAGTACGCCAGGTCAATGTTGGTGACCTGTGACCCTTTCCCAGGTGACGCAGCCATCCACGTTCCTTTGACGGTGACCCGGTGCGCCGGGTCAGTGCGGTGACCTCCCGGTCTTCCCGCAGGTGACCATGCAGGTCCCCGGGTTTCTGGTGACGGTGCTGGTCCTCGGAGGGCTCCTCTGGACCAGCTACTTCCACGTGCTCTGGTACGGCAGTCGACTGGAGTATGTCGGAGGCTACTCCTGCACGGACCAGGTACAGAGAGAAAAGGGGAGGTGGTCAGGTTCAGGGGATACCGATTCATTTGTCAGTGCTGGATGTTTTCCAGCCCGATAGTTTTGGTGAGATTTTAGCGTGGAAAAAACATTTATTATAATAGTGGTTCATTGTACTTGGGCCAATATACGATTATTGTTTACGCTACTTATGGAGGATGCGAGGAGCAAGTATAGGATGCATTTTTATCTGGCCTGCTTCCTGGACTATCCCAGCTGCTGGGGCACGCTCCCAGCCACTGACTGACGTTTCTTTTTCAGGTGATTCATTACGGAGAATTTGAAATCACGGACCTATGCTCCAACCGTGAGACCGACAACAAAATAAATGTGGTGAGTTTCCAACTTCAACTTTATCTGGGTCCATAACCCAATGTCTTTATTCTAAATCTTTCAATAAGGTCATATGTTGTGACCTGTAAAGAAGCGATGGCATGGCGATGCAGTTGTATTCGGCCAGCGCAACACACGTCAGTACAGCTCGATCGCAACTGGCCCGCCGCGTCCGAGCGGCCCTGCGCCCGTCCGGGCAGACACCGCCCGACGGCAACTCGGTCAGGCAGAGGTACAGCTTTCACCTTGGGACAGACACCAACAGTTATTCTTCTTATTTCTATTTCTCATTTATATTTCTCATTATTATCTAGATCAGAGGCCTGTTTCACTAACAAATAAAGTGTGTAATTACAAAGAAAAAACTTGAGTTTAAAAGAAATAATTACCAACATTTGAAATTTGGATTTCACGAAACCTTCGGACATGAATTTTGAGTTTAAAATTTACCAACTTTTTTACAAGAAAAAAGTTTGTAAGAAACATCGAAATCGCAAACTTTCTGTTTCACGAAGACCAAAAACTTGAAAGAAAACGTTGTACTTACAAACCCGAAATTCCAGTGGCCCTTACGTTTGGAATTTTATTACTTTTCGCGCAATGATCCAAAGCAATCAATTATTTAAAACAAATATGATATGCTGAGTCATTATATGCTCTTTTTTACTTAGCACAATCCCTACGAACCAGCTGCGAGCAATAAATAAATATCGTCATGTTTTGTCATTCGCGCGCCATAATTGCATTCAACAGTCTTCTGCTGTCAAATGTTTTGCGTGTTATTTTCTTTCAATAATAAGATATGGTGAACTATCATTTATACCATTCAGAAACAGCATCATTATTTTTAATTTATTCCTGCAATTTCTGACATGAATACCTACTAGACATAGTTTGATAAAAAGAAGCAATATCTGTAACATGTTATAGTTCTTGATTAAAAACAATTTTACAGTTTACAAGTTTATTTACCAACTCTTTTTATCGGAGGTGCCGCTGGTGATGAAGTTGAGTGAAATCCGATTTTACATAGTTTGCAAAAATACTTAGGAATTGTAAAGTTCAAACACTTGTAATCGCAAGTTTTTAGTGAAACACGCCTCTGATCTTTTTATGATAAATCGTCACAAAATTATTCACGTCCTCGAAAGTGTTGAATAACTTCTTGCATTACAGCGCTGAGGAGCATGACCGCTTAGACTTACACACAAATGGGAAGCCATACCCATCACCTATGCGCTATCTACACACACAAACACACACACTGACTATGCAAGCTGTTGCACTTGCGTCCAGTCCATCTCAAACTTCGGGAGAAATCCAAATGGCAGAAACTGGCTGTGGCATTAGACGTCTACTGACGGAATGTGTTATGTAAAATCAGTGACATCACTGTCGGAAAGCCCATTTCTTGTAATCATTAGTGCAGGAACAAAAATGACAGATTTGCTACCTGTAAATCTAATGGTGATACTATTCTGGGGACATCTGAACGGATTATAATCCATCGTATGCAATATCTGGCGAGCCATTGATGCAGGCATGGTTCTTTGTCGACACGATCATTGCAGGACATGGTTTTAGAAATAATGTATTCAGCGCTTTGTTTCACAGACCAATGTTTAACATGTCATTACTCAGATATTTATCTTTACCTCTGAAACACCATTGGAAAGCTTGAATTCAGCTGTTATTAATATAATTGTGCATTATATGATTTAAAAATGAATTGTGATCGCTATAAGTACCAATGTTTAATTCCAGTCTGCGCGCACGTGCGAACGTGCAATGTGCATGCATACGAGTATCAAACATTACATATCAAGTAGGTATAGGCATGCCTAAGCAGGCGTTCACTTTATAACTCGGCACTTGCTGCCGATCTTGGTCCGTTGCACATGTGTGGCTTCGTAGGCCATGTGCGCTGAATAACTATTTAACCGTTACCAAAAGCATAAAACAGTCATAGTCACCTGACCATAAATAGAAACCGTGTTAATTAAGACCGACACATAAATGTAGCTGCTCTACTTTTGAAATACAGGTAGCCCGTATATAGCATGGATCATTGCCATCGATGTTTTCCCAATCATTATTTTTGTTATTATTATTTATTGGACAGCGCCGATGAATTACACAAACCACTATTTGCCGTAACTATCAATTTGCTTTTCCTGATCAGACCCATTCAATATTTTCATAACGGACGGAACGTACCGATAGGATTGAGATAAACAGAACGCCGAACAGATAAACTCACCCCCATCCTGCTGCGAGTGTCTGACCGTCACCGCGGCAGTGATCGGAGCAGGCTCTGAGCTCCCTCTCACGACTGACTCCCGAACGAGCAGAGCCACCAGATTCAGCAAGTAGTGATCCGTACCTCACGATAACGCAACCGGACGTCACCACAGAGCACCGTTCGCTGGACATGAGAATATGACAGGATCGGCGGCTAGGAGCGTTAGGATTTCGGACGCCGGCTCTTTGATCGCTATCCGCCGTTCGCCGTTAACCTCTGTCCACGATTTTCAGACGGAACGCGATGGGAACACGCAGGGTGCGTCCAACAGCTCCGGGTCCGGGCCGGCCCTGGGCTCCACTCCGGACTCCGGCGAGCTGGAGGAGCCGACCTCGACCCTGGAGCGGCTGGCCCCGGCCATCGCAGAGTGCTTCGCCGTCATCCTCTGCGGGTGAGCCACCTTCCAGGGGTCAGGTCAATGTCAGAGCCATGTCCGAACACTTCACCGTGGTCTGTGCAAACGGTGTCGCACTTTCTAGTTACAGTCTCATTTGACAACAAATAAAATAGGTATATTCAAACTAAAAATAGCTTCCTGACGTTTCCTGTCTGTTGTCTAATCAGATTTGAAATATAGGTCACCCCCGGATTCCACGTTATTATGCTAATTGCTAAGAACAGGGAAGTGTGCTTATTGCCGAAAAGCTCGACTCTAAGTGTTCGTGTGCTCGACCTTGGGTTTACCAGGCTCTGGTTCTTGACTCAGGTTCTGGTATTTTATTCTACACAGATATCTGGCCGGTCGGATGGGGCTCATACGTCCAGATGAGATATCCGGACTGAACAAATTCGTCGGCAACTTCGTACTGCCTGCGCTTATCTTTCTGTCACTGGCAAATCTCAACTTCGGGTAAGTACTGAATGGGATCCATAAGATAACCTTTTTGCGATATTTCGAGACAAGAAGTTTCCTTAACCCTCGCCGGCACAGGGGGGGGGGGAGGTTGATGCAACCCCCCTAGGTTTTTCGCAAATAACTCGCGTAAAAAGCGCCTGATCGCAACAAAACTTTCAGTACCCTCGCATTGATCAATTTTACACCTACCCTGAGAATTTCATGACCCTGAATCAAATGACCTTTGACCTGTGACCTATTTTCCAAGATCATGTTTGGCCGGAATCGCGATTCGGCGTATGTCGGCTCGCATTAGCCGCGCGTTTGCAGTCCTTTCGTGGTTTCCAGCGTTCAAACATGTGATTTGATGTTACTCCCATGCATTAGGGTGGGTGTCAAGGTCACTTAACCCTCGCACGACCAGGCCATTTCTCATAACACGAACGACCAGGGGGGGGTTGTTACGACCCCCCCCCCTGGCGTTTCGAAACGGAATGTCGTAGAGCTTAGCGGAAAAAAACAAGGGATTGCTCTCAACGAGATCTCGCGATTGGTGGTATATTTTTTGGTCCTAGGTCAACATTTGACCTACTTATGACCGGTCAAAGGTCAAATTTTCCGAAAAAATCAAACTTTTTCAACTTTCCGCGGCGATTGCAGCAAAACGGTGGGAGATATCGACTTGAAACCTTCACTATCGTGTTCCTTGATCAATTCTCTATCGTTTGGTATGTATTTCGTTTCCCTAGCTCTAAAAATGGCGCGTTGGGAGCGCCGGAAGTCGGCAAGGTCACAGTCGGCGGCAGAAATTCGAAAAATCAAAATTTAAATTTTTGAAATCTGAGGCCTGTTTCACTAAAAACTTGCGATTACAAGTGTTTGAACTTTACAATTCATAAGTAGGGTAAGGTGCCTAATTAGCGACCCTTTCCGATTTGCGACCTACCTCCCTACAGAAAAACTGGCAGGAGAAAACGGGGTAAAAACATCGTCAAAAGGTCAGCTATACTTTGGTTATCAAAATAAATTATTTCCCGGTCGTCGATGTTTCTGGTGGGACGTTTCAGGTGAGTTTAAATAAAAATGTTAAGTTTCTTATCCAAAACGTGTGTGTTTGGGCCCTCTCTGATGAAAAGCGATGCACATTAGGATGATGCACCTTTTTTATTTTGAATCGACATTCCTTTTTCAATTGATTGCCGTTTTCCCATAGTGAATCGCTCAACTGTGCACAGCATGGCGGTTAAAAATGTGTCGCAACTCATATTTCCTATTTGCGCCTGACATGGTCGCAAATAGCTCAAGAAGGGAAAGAAAGGGGAAAAGAGAGAAATGAAAATGAGGTGTTGCTGAAGCTTGCAATGTGTGGCAGGGGATGCCAAATGTCGTCACCGACTGCAGGGGTGCCGAATTCAGCGCGGGCCTCGAATATCATACGAGATAGCCCGCAAAATTTGGGTTTCCGCCTTCTTTTCGCCTTCGGTGCATCACGTGATCAGTTTTTACTTACGTAAATGTGTTGGATAAACGTTCCTGTTCGAGTGATTGAGTGCTTTGCGTATAGGTTACCTTTTTGAGATCATATTTCATGTTTTCAGGCGTCGCATTTTTTGCCATTTTTAATATGGGGAAACCCATAGACTTATTAGCGACCCTCCCCGGTCGCTAATCGGGAAGAGTTCCCTATTAGCGTTTTTTGCAATGGTTTGCCAAAATGCTCACTACAAGTAAGTTAGTGAATATTGGGGCAGAAAATGACTATATTTTAATAGAAAAATGAACGATCTCTCCGAAAATCAAGCCAGTAATACAGTGGCACCCACAGAGCGTGAGCAATGACGGTTCAAATTAAGGGGGTCGCTAATTAGGCACCTTACCCTACTTTTGCAAACTATGTAAAATCGGATTTCACTAAACTTCATCACCAGCGGCACCTCCGGTAAAAAGAGTTGGTAAATAAACTTGTAAACAGTAAAATTGTTTTTAATCAAGAACTATAACATGTTACAGATATTGCTTCTTTTTATCAAACTATGTCTAGTATTCATATCAGAAATTGCAGGAATAAATTAAAAATAATGATGCTGTTTCTGAATGGTATAAATGATAGTTCACAATATCTTATTATTGAAAGAAAATAACACGTAAAACATTTGACAGCAGAAGACTGTTGAATGCAATTACGGCGCGCGAATGACAAAACATGACGATATTTATTTATTGCTCGTAGCTAGTTCGTAGGGAATGTGCTAAGTGAAAAAGAACATATAATGACTCAGCATATCATATTTGTTTTAAATAATTGATTGCTTTGCATCATTGCACAAAAAGTAATAAAATTCCAAACGTAAGGGCCACTGGAATTTCGGGTTTGTAAGTACAACGTTTTCTTTCAAGTTTTTGGTCTTCGTGAAACAGAAAGTTTGCGATTTCGATGTTTCTTACAAACTTTTTTCTTGTAAAAAAGTTGGTAAATTTTAAACTCAAAATTTATGCCCGAAGGTTTCGTGAAATCCAAATTTCAAATGTTGGTAATTATTTCTTTTAAACTCAAGTTTTTTCTTTGTAATTACACACTTTATTTGTTAGTGAAACAGGCCTCAGATTGTATTTTTGGATTTGGGAGGTCCATTTGCTCCCTATAGAAGCTAATATTGCTGCATATTCCCACTGAGGTGACAAGAATTAGCAAAATAGTGGTTCGGGCGCTTTTCAAAAATAGTACCGGACGCTGTTCCTCTTGTGACGTCATAGCTCCGTGACCTGACCTGACCCGGTCAATTTTCTTGCACCACACGATAGCCAATGCTTGCCCCAACATGCATGGGAAGTTTCATCATGATCCATCAAACAATGTGGGTATCACCGGCAGAAAACCTAGGGATTCGGCGCACACGTTTGGTAACTGTCGGCCGGAGGCTGTACCTCTTATGACGTCATAACTCCGTGACCTGACATGACCCGATCAATTTTTTTTCGGCAAAAGATGCGCAAAGGTTGCCCCAGAGGGTATTGAAAATTTCAGCCCGCTACGACAAGCCGTTTAGCGTGCACTTCGAAAAAACCTCAGGGGGGGGGGTTGATACAACCCCCCCCCCCTAGGCGTTCTAGGGTTAAAGGTCAGGGGTCAGGTCATTGACCTTTGGTTACCTCGGTTCACTTTTTCGAGTTTTACATGTTTCTAGGCTAGTTTTTGGAGCTGAATTCGAATTTAGCAACCATTTGAACATTTACGAAGTAGTTTTGGTGCCTTCGTAACATGTTACGAAGCTGTCAGAGGCGGATGACAGGTACTACAAATACCCGTCACGACCCCTACCGGTTGACCTGACCTGACCTGACTCGACCTGGTCTAAACGCTTAACGACATCATCTGTGATCAAAACTAGCACGATATTCGTGATCAGCACCCTGGAAACCCCTTAGTAGCCACACTTAACGACTTTCTAATAGGTCCCGATATTCCCGATTTTTGGGTCATTGACCTGACCTGGAAGGTCAACCGATGACCTAGGACCTTAAAATTGGGTATCATTGGCTTCCTCTCGTGACGGGCAACACGCTCGTTTTTTCTGCGAAGTTCTAGCTCCATCAGGGGCCAAACACGAGGGGGATCGTACCCCCCCCCCCCCCTGTGCCGTCGAAGGACTCAAAATGGCCTGTGCCGGCGAGGGTTAACACGTGCGATTTGGCTGGCGCATGACTACACGAATGAAAGGAGCTCCAATGTGGCCGCTGGGAGAGAAGTGAAGGCGGGCCGAACGGGGAAGAGGACCGATAACAGGTGGCTACAAGGTCTCTCCATCAGGAAGTCCATGGCCTCAGGCTGACCACCGGCCGTATAAAAACTGGCCTGGAACTGATTGGAGCTAAAATGATCGAACAATGCGGTTGTCAGCTACTTTTGGATAGCCGCACACTTTTTACGCCCCAACAAAGATAGAGAGAAATGATCTTTATCTCCATCAGTTGTTATTAAAACTGAATATACCAGTATAACGCCTTTTGGGGCAACTAACGGAGCGAGCGAGAGGGTGGGCCTTGCACGTGCGAAATTTCGAGGGGTACCTCCAACTGACTTGTACACTGCACCCTACTAACCGGTCTCTAGCGATGTGCCAAATTTGAGCGCAATCGGCCGAGCCGTTATCGAGATCTGGAAGCGGCACCCTGCACGTGCGCACGTGCAACATGGGTCCCAACTGACTTTTGCACGGCACCATACTAACCGGTCCCTAACCGCGTACCAAATTTTAGCGCAATCGGTCCAGCCGTTTTCGAGATCTGGAATCGACCCCTGCACGTGCGCACGTGCAGCAGCACCCCAACTCTGGCACATGGATATGCAGTGCCTAGTGGGTGCCTACCTACATGACAACTTTCAGCGCAATCGGCCAAGTAGTTACCGAGATAATGCACCAATTACAAAACTGACACCTCTTCGTTTTGCACGTGGCACGTGCTTAAGGGGTCACCCACATGCATCGGGAATAGTCCAATACTTGGTAGAAGGAATGAAGCTACCCTACAAAAATTACCGCATGTAAATCGGTCAAGTGGTTGCTGAGATATAAGCCTCGCAAAAGCGTCCGCACGGCCGGCCGGCCGGCCGCTCATACTCAGAAATTTCCGTTAATCTAAGGAAAGACTACGCTCGCTTCGCTCGCTCCGTAATGATACGGTTTTAGCGCCAAATCCAGTCATTTTAAGCACCAGTATAACGCCTTTTAGGGCGACTAACGGAGCGAGCGAGAGGGTGGGCCTTGTACGTGCGAAATTTCGAGGGGGTACCTCCAACTGACTTGTGTACGGCACCTTACTAACCGATCTCTAGCGATGTGCCAAATTTGAGCACAATCGGCCCAGCCGTTCTCGAGATCTGGAAGCGGCACCCTGCACGTGCGCACGTGCAAAATGGGTCCCAACTGACTTGTGCACGGCACCCTACTAACTGGTCCCTAACCGTGTACCAAATTTGAGCGCCATCGGTCCAGCCGTTCTCGAGATCTGGAAACGACCCCTGCACGTGCGCACGTGCAGCAGCACCCCAACTCTGGCACACGGATATGCAATGCCTAGAGGGTGCCTACCTACATGCCAACTTTCAGCGCAATCGGCCAAGTAGTTACCGAGATATTGCAACAATTACAAAACTGACACCTCTTCGTTTTGCACGTGGCACGTGCATAAGGGGTCACCCACATGCATCGGGAATAGTTCAATACTTGGTAGAAGGAATGAAGCTACCATACAAAAATTACCGCGTGTAAATCGGTCAAGTAGTTGCTGAGATATAAGCCTCGCAAAAGCGTCCGCACGGCCGGCCGGCCGGCCGGCTCATACTCAGAAATTTCCGTTAAGGAAAGACTCCGCTCGCTTCGCTCGCTCCGTAATTATCCTATTTAGCCCTTCACTTGTTCCATTTATTATCGTGGAATTCTTATCTAGCTGTGTTGTAGTATGCTTCCCAATTACATCGGTACTTCGAGCGGGCTCTCTAAACGTCAGGGCGGGGCGACTAACGGAATATTCAGTTGGAAGTAGAAATTGAAATTCAGTCAATTTCGGTGTGACAGAAATTTCAGGTGAGTCAGTAATTTTATTTCGTTACTCGCCTTAGATGAAATTATCGGCAGGCGATCGGGTGAGGCAGAAAAGAGAGTAGGTACAGACGTAACAATTCCCATCCTCTGTTGGCAAGGGCGCTGAGCGCTTGTCGGTGCGGTCACTGTGCTAATCCCCAGGACACATGTGTCTTTGACATGTATGTCATAAGACTCTGCTCTTGTCGGGAGTACCATGCTCTATTGCTGTTTTACAGTGGTAAGCATGAAGGATTTATCTGATGAGTTTGGTGATAAACTTTCGAAGTCTGAGTCGGCATCTGAGTTGTGTTACTACGCATGTAATAGAGAAGATTACAGGTTTTGATCGCCAGGAAGCCACGACACTTATCTGTAGCTGCTGCATTTTTCAAGCATGAATGTTTCCAAGTCCCAACGTGTGACCCAACGCACATGGCGGTCCTGTGGTTTGCACATCGGATTAATGTGCGTGGCACTGTTGAGTCCATCAGCATCTAGGCAGAATATAAGCTGGGATTAGCCTCGAAACTTTTTTTGCCCTGAGCTTAAGTTTGCAAGAAAATGCGCTGATTGTGAGGGTTTGACGAAGTTAATGATTTTTTTTAGGCTGTTTTGTTTTTCACTACGCAAACTTGTTTGAATCAAAACCTTCCTGTTGGCTGTTGCATCGAGTAAAGTCAAGAAAAATTATACCAGATGTCGGATAATGATACAAAATAATGCGTAGGTATTGATGGGATATCTTAGTCGGCAACGACTAACGACATGTTCAGCTTCCCTGTTCTGTGACTCGTAGCACCTTTCACTTAAACAAAAACAACAACAACAACAAAACAAGCGACTCAGACAGACTTGTGGCGCGCTGATGGGGTTTGCACAAGTTCTCAGACCGGCGAGTCATGTCTGGCACAGTTGTGACAAGTTTACAGACCCCTAGATCACAATCAGCCAGTTGACCCGGCGGTCCCCCACCCCACTGTCTCCCCACGGCCGCACCCACCGGCGCCTCCGGCACCCACACCAGACACGGAATGACCCGCACACTGACCCAGAAACAGTCCAAGCCCACGCAGCCCAGAAGCGGGGGTAGTCAGCCGCGACCCTGGCAGGGTCCAGACTCCAGAGAGACGCGGGCCTTGTCCCAGTGAGGTGCCCGCACTGCGTACCTGCGGCTGCGTGAGGCGATCACTTCCCCTGAGCGGCCCTCGTCGGCGGGTCTTCCCGGGCGCCGGTGGCGACCGCGGCGGCGCCTGACATTGAGAACAGGCCGCGCGGCGACCCGGCGGCTGCGGTCAGAGCCCGCCCGGCCGCGCGGACCGGCAGACCTTGACTGAGATCGCCGCTGACCCGGATATCGGCGAGCCCACGTCCAGGAAGGAGGCCGGAAACTCCCAGAAACGCGTCTGTGACGGGCCGCCCAGTGACGGGCCGCCGGGAGGGGCTGTGTGGCGACCGAAAATGTGATGGGATGTCTTCGACTGATGTGTCCTAAGACGGGGGATAATCGGGTAGCAATACAAGAGCTTGCTCATTATTTATGACCCTGACACGAGCATGCACACGGCCTCGTTTACAATGTGGCTTTACCCTAATGTCAGCATGATGCAGTTCAAGACCATTCTGTACTCACCGGCATTCACCCACTGCTATTTACTAAACTATTGCATAGGGGAAAACCGTTCTAAAACACCCAGCGTACGATATATCATATCCTGAGCTCGTATTTCGAACATTCGAACTGTTTAAATGTTGTTTTTAGCTCTCTCACACCTAAGTATTCATGAGGATGAAGATGTTTGCAGCTGGAAGCGACGACCAACAATGCCTGCACCTTCCGCATCCTCATGGGTTGCCGCTTTGTCACGCTATGCGTCATTTGTAAGTGCCAAGGTGTGCAGAGGATCAGGGAAGTCAGCAGAGGATCGCGTGCTGATCCGGCGGTTCCCAGGGCCGCCGCTGACACCAAACCCCGCTCTCCCCCACAGGGACGTCAACTGGGGCTTCCTGGTGATCCTGTACGGTGCCAAGGCGCTGGTGTTTGTGCTGGTGGTGTTGGTGACGGCGGTGGCGTCCTACCCGACCAACGTCGGCAGGGCCGGTCTCTACGGCATCTTCTGCACGCAGTCCAACGACTTCGCGCTCGGCTACCCTCTCGGTAAGTCGTGGTCGGCGCTCGGCTCCCGGTGCCACCGGCTGGCTGAGAAACCTGCTGAAATGCGGCCGGGACCGTCATGGATAATATTCCACAGATGTTTGGGCTGGCTCTGACAGGGCGCATAGCTCAGTCATTGGCGATTACCAATACCGCTCAACCATGACATTTTCTGCATGGCTCAAACATTGTATATCGGCAGTGTTTCAGTCGGTAGGTACGCCATGTGGTTGGCTGTGACGCCGGTGACTTGGATCGATGAACATAAGCGCATCACCGGCAGTGATGTGTAAAGCTTGCCTTTATCTGGATGCGGCATGCTAGGATTTAGGTCGATCTGTCATTTCTGCGATGCTGAATGCAGATTATAACAGTTTACATAACATAACATAACATAACATATATTTCCATGCAACAACAGGCCACATGGGCCCAACAAGGTTACACGCACATGTAAATCAATGCACATAAACTCACATGAATCAGACATATCTCACATACATCGATAAACAATCTCCTTTCACTACATTTCATAAATATCCCGACACGAATAAAAAAGAAGAAAAAAAAAGAAAAAAAAGTTTTAGATTTCATTTCAAGTGTCAAAAACTAGACCACTTTCTGCAAAGAATAAATCAATTCCATTCTTGAATTGCTGGATGGAGGAACTATCGATAACCAAAGATGGTAAGCCATTCCAAATATCTACGACCCTACTGGTGAAAAAAGACTGTCTTAAGCGCGTTCTTGTATACTTCTTTTTCAGTTTACATTTATGTCCCCTCGTAGAATGCGAATTTATTGTAAACATATTCTGAAAGTCAAGTTTGTCAATACCCTTGTAAATCTTGAACAGTTCGATTAAATCTCCTCTTACTCTCCGGTAATTTAGCGAGAACATGTTAAGTGACACAAGTCGATCTTTGTAACTCATTTGAGCTAAGCCCCGCACCATCCTAGTTGCCTTTCTCTGAACCCGTTCTAATAATGTTACATCTTTTTTAAAAGAAGAATGGCAAGCTTGTGCACAATATTCTAAATGTGGCCTAACATAGGCACAGTAAAGTCTCTTCATGACCTCCTTACTTTTATAAGTGACATTTCTGTTTATAATTCCCAACATCTTAAGGGCCTTTTTCCGTGCCTCCTGACAATGGCGGCTAAATTTCAAATCATCTGTGATCAAAACCCCCAAATCTTTTTCTTCATGAACATTTCGAAGTGTCTCACCATTTATGTTATATAGATCATCACCATATCCCCCCAAGTGGAGGACTTTACATTTTTCTATATTAAATTCCATCTGCCATTCTCGAGTCCAATCATGAAGAGTATTCAAATCTAATTGTAGTGCTTTCTTGTCGTTTTCGGAAGTAATTTCCCTTGCTAATTTAATGTCATCGGCAAACTTCCAAAGTTTGCTCGTTAGCTTCGAGTCTATCAAATTTACAAAAATGATAAACAATAAAGGGGCTAGGACCGTACCCTGAGGTACACCACTTCTAACATCCTTCCAATCCGCTTCATGTCCGTTAAGTATTACTCTCTGTTTACGTGCTAATAACCAGCTCTCAATCCAGTTGAGTAAAGCCCCGCTAAGTCCATGAATTTCTAATGATGTTAGTAATCTTCTATGGGGAACTTTATCAAAAGCCTTACAAAAATCTAAATAGACTACTGATACATTTTTACCTCTATCTACAAGGTCTGTTACATGCTCAAGGAAATCTAATAAATTTGTCAAACATGAACGACCACTTCTAAACCCGTGTTGAGATGGCAACAGAAGAGCTTCTCGCTCCAAATGTGCCAGTATGTGTTTTTTTATTATCTTTTCGATTATTTTACATACAAGAGAGTTTGTCCTAAAACCATATTGTATTGTCCCAAAAGCTGTCAATCTTATCAATATGAATATCTATTCTAAGCACGTCTCTACATACCTATTATCAGTTTATTCTTTAGTCCTTTGAGAATGGAAAAGTATCTTTTCTGTTATACGCTACATACCTTGTGACCCAATACGAGACATGCTGCAATCAGGCTAAATTGTATTATGTTCAATGCTCATCGGCTTTATTCGTGTATTTTTTATTTCTATTTTTTGGTAAAGCTGATCGGCATAGTTTTTGATAATTTGCTTATCAACCAGAAAAGCGTGGCATGAGCTCATTGTGTCTCTGTCCTTCTCTCTCACTCTTGCTGTCCTTCCCTCTCTCCCTCTCTCTCCTCTCTCTCTCTCTCTCTCTCTCTTTCTCTCTCTCTCTCTCTCTCTCTCTCTCTCTCTCTCTCCTCTCTCTCTCTTCGTGTCTGAACCCCACCTCCCACCTCAGTTCAGGCGCTGTACGCCAAGACGCACCCGGACTACGCCAGCTACCTGTACCTGGCGGCGCCCTCGTCTCTGATGCTGCTCAACCCCATCGGCTTTCTGCTGCTTGAGCTGCAGCGCGCCCGCTCGGCGGCCAAGGTGTCCTCCTCGTGGTTCGAGACCGGCCAGCGCGTGCTCACCGGCATCGGCACCAACCCGGTCGTCTTCATGACGTTTCTGGGCATCGTGGCCAACGGCGTGTTCGACCACTGCCTGCCAAACATCCTCGAGGGAATCCTCAAGGTAAGCATGAGTAGTGAGTGTACCCGGACCTTTAAATGGTTGCATGATTCGTAGGTTGATATCATTACATATATGTTTTCTGTAGTTGAGTTATATGTAAGTGTTGTTAACTTATAAATCATGTCATTGTATCCATGAGACTATGATTGGATCCACGCAATGACACTCTTTCTATCGAATTCGGTCCGCTATCCGTCATATGACGCGACCGAAACGGGTCGTCTGACCTTGCTCAATGCTCGCGGTGTTTCAGGTGCTGGGCCAGGCGTTTTCCGCCTCCGCGCTGTTCATGCTCGGCATTCAGATGGTGGGCAAGGTGAAGTCGATGAAGGGCTCCACTCTGCTGGTGCCCTTGATCCTGATCTCCGTCAAATGGTGAGGGAGCGTCCAACAACGAATTATCCCAATAGAAACAGCACTAAATGAAGTAATATGTTGACTTTGACAAGACCGTCCTTTAGATTGTGTTGGCAACTTTATCAGTTCATTTTCTCTTTCTTTATTTTCAGTTTCTTCCTGCCGCTGATTGTCCGTGGCCTGCTGGTGCACTTTCCGCCCCCGGGGGAGAATATTCGCGACTTCCAGGACTACGGCTTCCTGATCGGCACCTTCCCTACAGCACCGGGCGTCTTCGTCTTCGCCAAGCTCTACAACATCGACGTGGACATGGTGAGTGCTCGGCTGGATGCAGTGGTTACCGCATTGGCGAGTGCTCGGCTGGGGCTGTGGTGGTATACTGCGTTGACGATAGTTCGAATGGCTGTGGTGGGTTGCTTCTTCAGACGCCGGGGATTTCATTGGCGAATTGTGTAATTTGGAGGAAAGTGAATGTGGAAACAGGCGCGGTTTTGGGAATTCAGTTGCTTGTGGTCGGAGCAAACATATCTGGGCGAATCTCTGCGTCCAGGGATTCCTTTGAGTTTCTGATTCTGCAACGTAAGCAATTAGAGGTTTTCCTTGTAACAGGAACTGGGAGTGGGACATTACCCAATCAACGCCGAAAATCCCAGAGCTCCATGCACGAATGAAGTTAAAACTAAGACCACAGCAGTAAATGAACAGCGCTGCAAATGCCCCACCTAAACGTTACTGCAGCCTAGCGGTTAGCTTCCGTGCCCAGCGCGATGACAGTGCGAAGAGTCAATCAGTCAGGATAGTACCGATCATACCACACACGCGGTCGTTTTATAGACAGGTGTGACACCGTCTACAAGGAAAGCACCGTGTCCACGCTGACGCTGTGTGCCGGAGATTAGCACAGCGGGTGGGGCCAGGAGACTACACAGTCATCGTGAATTGCCACTGATGAAAAATTAGAGACAGCGCGTGAGACAACGACGTCGGCAATTACGACATCACAACTCTTTTTGTGACGTGACATTTTATGACACAGCTTGACGACTGATCGTCATATAGAATGGCGAAAGAAGGAGAGAGAGAGAGAGAGAGAGAGAGAGAGAGAGAGAGAGAGAGAGAGAGAGAGAGAGAGAGAGAGAGAGATAGAGAGAGAGAGGCAGGGCCTCGGCTAAGGAATTTTGACTGGTGGGCCACTTGGGCAGCGACATGGACTGACCTTCGTAGCCATAGCCCCCCCCCCCCCCCCATTTTCGATTTCTCCCCAGATTTCGGCCACTTTATTCTGCAAAGAACGTCAGGATGGCATTTTAAAAAATGTAAAAAAAAACGGGGCTGGACCCCCCCCCCCCCCTCCCGACTCTTCAGAGAGAGGAGAGAGTAGGGACCCACACAAACCTCTCAGTGGTGATACTCCGGCGGTGCACATAAAATCGCACAAGTATGCACAAAATATTGACGCAGATTATAAAACTTTGGACGATAACTTACGGCCGGTCGGATGTTAAAAATCAGCGAGCCCTGAATGGATCGCTCGCCGACTGGTGGGAGATTCGGAAGCGGTCGGACGGGATCGGGCGTTGTCGGGTGGATCGGGAGGAATTGTGAACAGCACGAGTGCAACTTTATATATAAAGTGGGTTGTAGCAGGAACCCCAAAAGGGGGTTGTAGCAGCAACCCCAACATATCTGAAAATGATCATTAAGCCTATTGGTGTCGCATGGAAAAGAATTGACTCAAAAGCCCAAGCGCACTGCGCAGCCCTAATATTTTCTTTAAAAAAAAAGTGATGTACACTTCTGGTGAACAGTGTCCCAAACTTCAGATTTCTCAATTGGGTGTCTGAGTGGAAAATTCTAGCCACCCAAAATGTGAGAGTGAAAAATTATCCATTCTTATTCTTGAGTGTCATCTCCAGCCCAAATGAGAAATTTTTTGAACTCTGACTGTGAACGGTTCGAAATTCGTCCGACTGGTCAGATGTGCGACTGCAAGCATCATACCGGTCGTGAAGGCAGACGCATAATAATCGCTTGCAGACTTCAATCGGCTGGAAGTTGCCGACACTACCTCTAGTTTGACTCTGGCTTATATCGTGTCTATCGGCGAGCCGTCTGAGATCGCTCGCAGGCTTATCCCCGGCCGTCTGAACTGGTCTGTTCTTTATTCGTAGTTTTTCTTGTAATCGACTGGTCTGCGGCAGATGCTTATGTGACTGCAACCACTCGATCGATCGGAAAGCTTGCAAGAACTCTCGCAGACCTCGATCGGCAGGAAGCCGCCGACACTATCTGTAATTGACAGAGGCAGACGTCTTTCACGATTATTGCATAAAATTCAAAGCCTCGGTCACACTTCACCGGATTGGACCAACGGACGAGAAACGGACGAGAACTGTCAGCGTCCGGTGATGTCCGTTTGTCATCCGTTAATATCCGTTCCATGTCCGGTGGTGTCCGGTTGAGCACACCGGACACCACCGGACATGGAACGGATATTAACGGATGAGAAACGGACGTCCAACGGAAACGAACGGACATCCCCCGGACCCCGGACATCACCGGACGCCGTCCGTTTCTCGTCCATTGGTCCAATCCGGTGAAGTGTGACCGAGGCTTAACCTACGGCTGTCTCAAGAAACCGGGAATGGTGATGGTATTAGGCGGGCAACGACGATCAAGTTCTTACTTTTGCTAAATGCAACAATGTAGTAGGGCCTCTGTCTCTGTCTGTATCACAATGTTACCTACGTCGTGATGTAAAATGTGAAAACTTAGATTTTTCGGAAAATTACTGGTGGGCCAAATCTTTGAGGCTGGTGGGCCATTTCGGGTCACTGGTGGGCCATTTGGCCCACCAGTTAACATGTTAGCCGAGGCCCTGGAGAGAGGAGTGGGTTTCACAGGCAATTATTTGCCTGGAGTGGTAGGCTGTGCCGCATCACACGGGCTGAGTTCACAAATTATAGCTTTGTCGCAATGCTCACAATCGACACGCTTACTTGCGTGATAAACGGCACAACTTAGCGCTCCGGTCAACTGATAGCTTCTGAGGAGTGGAACATCATTCTGTAGTCGACTATACAGGAATGTTGCTGCTACCGCTATTCATGATCGCGACATCACAACAGTCGTTTTCACAGCAACAGTAACTTTCAGCAGTCACTTTCACCGAAAATAAAACATGCATGGAACTAGCACATCGCCAGTTGTTTTCTGTACCCTTCTATATTACGCCGGAGTAATGCGTCGTGTTATTTTAAAATCATTTGTTTGTCAATTGTGGCGCCATTGATTCCGAGGCTTTCTTATACCGTAAAGTGGGGCTATTTGAAACGGATTTTACTGTTTTTGGCCTCTCCCTTCAAAACGGTTGATATTTCCTATAGCATGTAAATTGCAAAAACGTAGTTCTCTGTAACCGCTTTCAGATAGGTCAATTTTGGTTCAGCTAGAAACCATAAATAACGTTATTTTTTCTAATTGAAGCCTGTTTCAAATAGCCCCATAGTGTGGGGCTATTTGAGACAGTTTTAGTTGCAAGGATATTGAAGAAAATTGGTCAAGCTAGGGATAATTCTTCTAATGCCATGCGATAGGAAATTAAATTTTCATACTTCTGGCAAAAATCATTTATTTCAACTACAGTTATGTAACCCTTATAATCAAATTTTTCGTTTTTCGTTGGACACAGCATTTCGCTCTGCTAAAAAATTGCATTACTTTATGCTAGGACTGTCATAATATGATGTGATCCTAAGCTCTAAAAATCACAGGATGATTATCTAGGACTATTTTAAAGTAAACGACAGAGAAATTTTCAAATAAAGTTGTTGTGTTTATATCTGGCGGCGTAAAACATATAGGCCGAAAGTTGGTGGGGCTATTTGAGACAGGCTCGCTACTGCATTAAACGCACCGTAATGCATTAAAAAAGGGAAAGCAGTTTCCAAAATGGTTGAATGAATGATGCGCATGATCGATTGTTCCATTGCACATCAACCTGTGAAGAAATAATAGAAAAAGGTCAAACGGTTTTGATTTTATGCCGATTTTCCTAGATCACTGCATGTTGTATCGAATGGCCGGTTACCGCACTGCATCAAGTACGGATGCATCAAGTATGTATGATAAATAACCTCCAATGGTCCTTATGGTCAACCAGAGTAGACATGGGTCGATTACCGACCACGTCAGTGACTGATGAAACACATTCTATGCACATTGCACATATTCATACAGTTAACTAATATCGTCACAAACTGGATGGTCGGTTATAATGTGTAAATATTGCTTGCTGCTAAACGTACCATGAACCCATGGCCGATTCATCGGTGTTCCTTAGGTCGAACGTTTGATACACCTTAGGCAGATGGCGGTGAGTCTTTAGGATGCATCATATCACCCGTTTTAGGGCCTTGGCATCACAACCATCAGCTGAATTTGGTATACGTTGAGGTTCGACGAGGTGGGTATCATCGGGATTCTGAGACATCGGGTTACACAATTGTCACTACCGCTAACAATATATAATGTCTGCATGTAAAATGTGCTTAGCCCATAAGTAAAACGATAGTTACGATAGATTTGGTTGCAAAGTTTTAAAACTTCAACAATGTTAAGCTGCAGGTAGGGGTGCTTTTCGTATAACTAAAGTTGTGGTTTTTCTGTATTTCTCATTAAATGCCAAATTTCTTTCCAAAATTTTCAAAACTTTCAAAAAATCATTTCCATGGAATTCATTATTAAATTCCACATCAGCTTGAGCAAAAATTGATCAAAAATATCAAACGGTTTTAATTTTACAGCAATTTTACTAAGCCACTGCCGTGCTGTCTCAAATAGCCCCTCTGTCTCAAATAGCCCCACTTTACGGTACCTTTGTTTTCTTTATCTATGTCTTGGTTGATTAATTTTCACCTTCATGAAGGCAAATGACAAGTGTTTGAATTTTGTTTATGGATACAATTTTTCCTTTCATTAATACCTAGGTACATGTTTTTGTTCTAACGTGGAGGTTCAACGATATCACATATTTGTAAGTCTTTTATGGGGGCGATAATAGTCCCTTTTGCGTCTTTATCGTCACGTTTCTATTTTTAGAAGAGCTGAGGTTACTGCTTAGCTGTCGTTACGTGTCTCTTCTGAAATGACCGCTCTAGTCTACCGTACCATGACTGAGATCGAACCATGACGTGTTTCACAATGGACTGGAGCAGGCTCCAGCCGAGCGGCGCCGACCGGCACGAGACGGGTGGAACGGGCCTCTCACCCGTCAGTGTTTTTGCCCCACCACCCACTCCCGATCGACACGCACCATGAACCCATTCGGTCGGGAGCTAGTCGCGTCGGGGCGGCTGGCGGGGCAGCTGCCATGCAGCCGATCTGGGGATGAGCGAGTCATGATAGACGATGATCATTTATTGAAGTTAATTTAACCCGCGTGCCGTAGGGGGGGGCCGAAACAGCCCCCCTGTCCTTTTCCGTCTATATCTCCTAAACGGCTGGAGATATCGCCACCAAACTTTCAGGACCCCTCCGAGCATAAATTTTACACATTGTGACCAAAAAAATTTCCAGAGGCTATGATAGGTTGGCCACAAATGACGTCAGAATGACGTCATGTTCTGCCATTTTCGACCGAAAAAAGACCTTCGCGAGATGAGCTGTCAGACCTACAGCTTTAAAGATACAGAAAAATGATCAAACATAAAAGGTGTAGAATTAACAGGGCTACAAAACTGCCATTTCGGATTTTTGAAATTTTTGAGTTTTGAACCCCAAAAATAAAAAAGCAATTTTTTGGATATACTAGCCAAAAAATCCAAAATAAATTTTGAGTTTCGAAAAAATGGAATACGTGTGATAGTGCCTACTGTCTTCTATCTACATACCAAATTTCAGATCGATATCTCGTTTTTTGGCCAAGTTATAGCGAAAAAAAAACTGTTCAAAAATGATAACGTCAAATTTTCAAACTCATTTTTGGCAATTCTAGACCAAGTAGGGAAAACAAAGACCACTATTAGACTCCCCGTGACGAGCTGCATCTAGTCGATACCTATTTTATGCAAACATATCAACTTTGAAATTTGACCTAATTGGACCTGACATTGACCTGACCTTCACCAAAACGTGACCTTAGCTGGCCCCAAAGGCTGCCTGACCCACATAATCGCATTTGTCATGTAAAATTGACCATAAAACATGTATCCACACGACACTTTCATATTGTGACCCCCGGTGACCTGACCTCTGTGACCTGACCTGGTATCAGTGACCTCAGATAGCAGAGTAGGTGTTTGACGAACAATGTACCATCGATGGTTTTCAATAACTTACCAATTTACTCGATTTCACAACACATATCTTGAAATGCCTGTGAACGGTGAAAATCCGACCTTTGACCTGACCTGTGACGTCATCGGTTTGACCTAGGTCAATGAAAATTGGTCACAAGGTAGTTTCTTGGTGGGGCTATCGAACACCGTTTGAGTTTTGAAAATCGGCCGGTAAATTTCCGAGATCTTAGGGGGGGGGGCGAAACGCCCCCCCCCCCCTACGGGTGGTAGGGTCCGCCGATAGCCCTACGGGGCGCGGTTTAACGAGGTATGCTTTGTAGATTGCATTGCAATAGACAGGCTGCATGCATGGTTGTGTATATTGTGATAAAATATAGGATGGAAAACAATAAATGGTTGCTAAAATGTCACGCTAATCGCGCATCCGCACTTAAGTTTAGATTGGACTGACTTCTAACAGGCGGCTAGTGGCTACCTATATTCGTATACATATATTCAGTGCACTGTTGAATTGATCGAACGTGCTTCCGCAGTCTGCACGCAAGAACATCAACTTCTATGACCTTCCTAGGAACCTTTTTATCGCGAGTATCTGGCCAGTGACCGTTCAACCTTGCATGCTGCATCAAACCCATGTCATGGATGAGGAATGTATTTGTAGATGCTTTAGTATTTTTCGACCATAACTCTACTGAAGAAGCGGCCCATGCTCCCGGCTGCACGCACCAGATCGCAATTTGCAACAGCGCAATTTGCCTGTTTTTGTCCACCGAAAAATTGCGTAACTCGCAAAGCGTCCAAAGTCAATCCCTTTCTCGGATGTCGTACATCTTTTTTTTCAATAATCTTGCCCAAGCATTCTGGCCGCTGCAAAGTTGGCCTGACAGCTCGAGATGTTGAAGATCGCTGTTGATTGCGACGGATTGTGAGACGCAGTGATAATTCCAAAGGATAGAAGGCTGTCGGAAAGAGGCATCTTACACATATTTCAAGTTACTCCAAACAAGTTCAAATACGCATGTCAAGCAAGGTTAAATTATCTAAATGTGGCCATTTCGTTTCACGTGACGCGAGCACTGTGTTACGTAGTAACGTCATGCTGGATCACAGTAACACACCGTGACATCACAATGACATCACAGATGGCGTCCAGACTCGATGTTGTCACAGCCAGCTGCACGCCACCGTAACACGCCACTTACCATGTCCCCGGGGAAATGGCGTCACTTGGGGTCAGTGCATTTTACGACACTCCTGGGCGCTCCGTAAAGTGTATTTGAGTGTTGATCCCATTGACGCCTTTTTGAAAGGTTGCGAAGTCTTGTTCGCATAATTAAAACGTCTACCTAAAGCATATACTAAGTAGCCAGCCGGCGTTTCCCGATGTTTATGGGATACGTCCAGTGGCACTGCCAGTCGATATCAAACCCCCCCCCCCTCTTTGTGCCGTCAGCTGTCCAGCGCGCTGGTGGCCTGCACGTTCCTGGCGATGCCGTTCATGCTGCTGTCGGCGCGGATGGCCTCCATCGGCCAGGTGAACGTCGCCGCCTACGTGTCGTCGCTGCGCCGCTTCGTGCTGCACATGACGTCTGTGGGCGCGTGCACGCTGGCCTGCGTGGTGCTGGTGCTGCTCATCACCAGGAAGCACCGCCGAGTGCCCTACCAGACCACCGTCCACCTGCTGGCCGCACAGGTGGGTGTGAGGGCGGCGCCGGGCCGACGGTACCGACGACCGAGAGCGCCTCTACACGGGACCGGGTGCAGTGGCTGGGAAAAGAAGGCAGTCCTAGGCGTCACGAGTGACTTTCAGTGGCTATCAAACGTTGTTCTTGGATATATCAATTGTGTATTCGGAGATCAATGTGCAAAAATAATTTCGTGTGTGTCTCATTAGGTAACTTTTATGAGCAATCTTTTAGCTTTTAAATACACTCCCGCAGAGACGAGCTAGATTGATTGTGCAAGATTTTAACTACCTTCTAAGCAGTGGGTATTGGGTAATGATAATACTTTATTCCTTTGATGTATGAAGCATCTGACACAAGCTATGCAGCGCTAGTCGTGCACGGTCCTTATCCCCTTTCCCGTCAGCTCTGTAACGCATTGTTCTGTTGTGCAGTCACATTGCCCGCGATGCAAGCAGCTCCTGTTGAGCAGTTTAAAGTGACAGCGCTAAGCTATTGAGCAACCTTACTGGAAGTATTGGATGCGTCGCTAGAGTAATCACCCTACAGGTGCCTGTTTTTCTGTTGATGCGAGCTCTGATTAGAGTATAATTATGTAGTTAGAGTTTTGCAATCAACCAATATAGTTGCCGAGGGATTCTGGTGCCCGGCGCTGGTTTTAGCACCACGGAGACGCAGTCGATTCTGTCTAGTATAGGTACGAGATGGCGGGATAGCTTCCACAAACTAATGGCGTCATTGCTTACGTTCGAAGGCCAAACAAATGTGTGCGTGCTAGGTAAATAACGCACCGCCACTTGCGTTTGTCAGCCTTGGAAGTTCCACTTGATTTACTAAATCTCCAGGCAAAGGTTATCAGCATTCCTTTGGAAGGTAAAAACAGACTGACAGTGAATGCCTCTCAATAGGTTCTGACTGGACACAGATATGCGAATGGGAAGTATGCTGTTCACAGAGTGAATCACTCTTCTATGAACTAGGATAGCGCCCATCCGCCTGCTTCACAAAACAATATTTTCTTGTTATGATTTGGCACCGTCTGTTCTCTGTCATTCCTCTTGTGTTCACTTCGCATCTTTACAAATATCCGGCTCTTTAGACGACATCTCTCCGTGAGTTTCTCATATCTGTCAATCACTGACTTCTCGAGCGTCAGGCACCTTCAGTGTGTGTTGGACATCGCACTGTATCCGTTTTGTGTTACGGAGATGACGCATGTCGCTCGCATGGCTCTTTGGCATGACGTGGCGTTGAGTTTGTCCCCACTCCGTCTCTTTGACGTCTCTCCGTCTCTCCGCTCTCTCTGACATCTTCCCGTGTCTCTCCCCGTCTCTCTGACATCTTTCCGCGTCTCTCCCCGTCTCTCTGACATCGCACCGTCTCTCCCATGTGGCTCTGACTTCTCCCTGTTTCTCCCCCTCCCTTGTCTCTGACAAGGGAGGGGACATGTTCCTATCTCCCTTGTTCTGTCTCTGACATCTCCCTGTGTCCCTCCCTTGTCTCTGACATCTTTCTATTCTCCCTGGTTCTGTCTCTGACATCTCCCTGTTTCCCTCCCTCCCTTGTCTCTGACATCTTTCTATTCTCCCTGGTTCTGTCTCTGACATCTCCCTGTTTCTCCCCGTGTCTGACATCTCCTCGTGTCTCTCTCCGTCTCTCTGATATCTCCCCGTGTCTCTCCTTGTCTCTGACGTCTCTCTGACATCCCCGTTTCTCCCTCACGTGCAGCTGCTGGCGGCCGTGGGCGCGCTGCTCTGGTACTCGCTCGAGGACGACGTACCGTGGCAGCTGTACCTCAAGTACACCGTGTTCACGCTCGGCCAGTTCGCCGGCCGCGTGTGGGCCGCCCTGCTAGCCGTGACCCTGACCCTGGTCAGCCGGTACACGGTGGGCGTGGTACAGCGGCTGCGCACGGCCAGCCTGCTCATCGGATGGGGGTGAGTACCGCCCCGCCCTCCGTGTCTTGACCGACCATAAGACGGTCTGGCTAGAGTGGCGTTGTAAATCCTGTAGCTAGGAGTTCTTGGATCATTCTTCATAGCAGTCATTATTTCTATACCGTTTGAACTTTAGTCGGCGGGTATCCTTCTCTGTTGCTCCGAGAGCTCTGAAGATGACTATCACATTGACCTATGTGAATCACAGACATCTGATGGTCATCACAAGATGTCTGTGGTTACGAGAGTTCTGATGATATAGACCAGACTCGGCGAGTGATTGGACTTCGGCATCGCACATGCCTCAGATACGGCGAAGCACATCTCACATCATAGAGCTCCAGTAGAGTCACACGTGGATAAACATAGCATCTGGTGACTGACGTGAAGCATGGGTACTATTCCAGCTAACGATGACAACTAGAAGTCCCATAGTCAGAAACAAAACACCATTTCAGGCTTGTCGGATGTCTGGGAAGCAGATTAAATGGACATGCCATTGGCGAGAAGTTCGAGCGATACAGGCGACGCTTTCTTGTTGGCCTGGCCTGGTCTGGTCCATCATTCTCGGCAGTGACCGAGATATAAGACCGATAACGAGTGGAGAGGAGTGGATCTTTCTAGTTGAGGTTTATTTGCCATTGGGTCTACAGTGCAGGGATATTTCTATCTCGCACTCCTCTGAGATGCAAAGATAAGAATTTGTTATATCTGCATCCCTCTGAGATGCAAAGATAAGGTCTCGAGGGTTCATAGTGAAAAATCAAGAGTTCATGTGATGATGGGTCAATAACCGAACGACATTTTCAATGGTTGCTTACTAGGGTGACCCGCGTGCTCCGCAACGCGAAGAAGGGTTATTTTTTACCCGTGGGTATTGGGTTGGTCTGTGTCGATTTGGTTGGTATCCATTTCGTTCGATTGCTTTTTGACGGCCAAGCATTTTGTAATAAAACAAAAAAGATACATCGCACCGAGGTGCCCGTGTCGTATTATCATGCGTTCTACTTTAGAACGATTCGAAAACTGACGTGAAGTCTTTTGAGGGCCATCGATGAATTTCGCTAAAAATGGCAATGTAATGGTTTGGAACATTTACATTTTTTAGAATACTGTTGATCATCATGCAAACATGAATACTGAACCTTGGACAGAATTGAATGCTCTTTCCAACGGTGCCATTTTTAATTGCCAGAGATATCAGATCATTGAGCAAAACCCGTGTGATTAATAAAGTGGCACAAAATTGACAAATACCATTTTCTCCCGTGATTTGTACCACCTTGATTTGGATCAATCAGCTTTCACAATTTTTCCATGAGAGGCGGTACATTTCTCTTGCCAACAGGCATTGTTCCAACTCGCTCTGTTTAACGGTCACCTAAAAATAAAATCAATTCCAAAATCCGCCAAAAACCGCAATTTTTCAACAAAAGTGCCCTCCCCGGTGCACGTGGCGCGTGCTATCCTCTGTATCGCACACCATTCAATTGCCCATTCAATTATCTACACGATGCTGTTTTCCCCGTGCCGGTTGGACCCCTGGTCACCAAGATATTGCGCCGGAACCGGACCCGTGTCGGCCAAAATTAGCCGTTTTCGCCCGATTTCGCACGCCGATTTATACATGTAAAGTCTATGACGCGAATTTGCACTTTTTGAGCACGCGCCATGCGCTCCCTATCAATCCGATCGAGCTGAGACTCCTCAAAGGCACGTCGCGCATCCTTGATCTATGAGTTGTGCAAATTTCACCGCGCTAGGGGCAACGGTCTGGCCTGTAGTCCACGCAAAGCACCACCAAGTCGGGACCTCGGTAACGGACAGACGCACCCTCCTCAAATAGTAATATAGATGGATGAAACTTATGAAATAAGAAGAAACTACTCTGAGTCTATTTTTACATAGATGAATGCATTTAAATATAATATTTTATTAATTAAGAATAAACCTCAACATAGAAAGATATAGGATTCCTCATGGCTCACTTGTGGAAGATCGGATATCTTTTCCTCGCGTGTTACAGAAAAACCTCGCTCCTTCGTCGCTCGGTTTTTCAGTAACCCGCTTGGAAAAGATATCCTTATCTTCCACTCGGAGCCATGAAGAATCCTCTATATCTCACACGTTTCATGGATCGAATGACGTTTGCATAGGTAGTTTCCCGGAGTAAGATGTTAGACGTCTCTCCGTGCAACCGTTTTTCCGATTGAAAACTTTGTCAGTCGCCGCGCTGCTGCAATCTGTTGCATCACCTGAGGACAGACGGGCTCTTGCCACACCCCCAGCCGGGTGACAAATGGCTGAACAACATCGCATCGCCTCCGGCGTATACATATATGTTTGTCCGACTGTCGCTGTTAGGATGTTTGCTCGACCCGTCTGCCCCGTGTTGGCGGTTGTGTGACAACCTCCTGCTTGTCTGTCAGCTGCATGCTTGTACGAGCGCAGCTTCATCCTACATCGTGGTCGTGGATGTCCCTTCATTCATCAGTACCTAATTGCACTTGGACATCTATTATAGGTATTTTTTGTCATTGGTGCCTGACCTCAATCGCAGCGAGCTTCTCTACAAAGCAACTACAGCGGTCCATTTCCAGCGTCCCTGCCCTCTTCACGGTCAATGTGTTTGCGTATTTTCTAAGCATCTCTCCTGGTTGTTTGTTTCTGCAGCGTTCCTGCCCTCCTCACGATCGGCGTGTTCGCGGGGTCCGAGTATGAGGGGTACGCGATGGCCAACCAAACAACCAGCACCAACTTCAGCGTGGTGCCCGTGTACGTGCGGACCAACCCCAACATGGGCTTCGGCGTCGGCCAGATCCACACCAACTTCGCCGTCCAGTTCGTCTGTCTCATCGGTAGGTCGTCATTATGAGTAACTCTATGATTATTGAGTGATGCGTGTACGCTCGACATGATGCAAAGTTGGAAATAATTGTGAGCATCATGGGCCTGATAACAATATAAAATTCATGTCAACAACTTCACGACGAAAACCAACCATAGAGCTATTTAACTAACGCAGTAGCTTCTCCAGTTTCTGACGCCCCTCTCTCCGCTCGTCAGTTGTGGTCGTCAATCTGATGCTGCACAACCGCTACAAAAACGAGTACGTCACCTACGTCAGTTTGGAGGAGACCGCGGAGACCGCGGAGACGGCGGCCGGCGGCCGGCCGGCGCCGCCTCCCTCGGTGCGCTCCGGCTCGTGCCGTAGTCGCCTCTCCGTGACCTCCCAGGTGTCTACCACCACCTCCCTGGGCACCTCGGTGGCGGCCGGCGGCGGCGAGACAGTCGCCCCCGCCCCCGCCCCCGCCCCCGCCGGCGGAGCGGCCCCGGCCGCGGCGGGAGCGGCCACCGGAGCCGCCCCCGCCCGGCGCCCGCCGCCCCGGCCTCTGCTGAAAACCAGGTGAGGGACAAAAATGTAATACGTTGGAATAAAATAATGTGCAAAACATTTTTTGCACATGAAAGTCGTTATTTTCATGAGCTTTTGACACATAACCAAATCAATATCCGCACCGCACATTATATCATACGAGTACAGCCTGACAATGCACTCAGTAACGCCGTCGCTAATGTCGCCGACCGTTTCCAGGAGCCAACTGCAGGTGGAGCAGGCGTTCCTGAACGAGGCCCAGAGGAAGGCCTCCGCCCCCGAGCTGACCACGGGAAGAGACCTCCCTCCCAAACCGATGCTGGCCACCCGGACTCAATCGGTGCCCTCCAAGATGACGAAAAGAAAGGTAGGGCACCACGTCCAAAAGTTAATCATTATTAATCGTCGGACAATAATGTTCCTCATTCTTATTTGGTTAAATCACTTATCATAAGGCCAGCGCATTTTACCTATTCAATAGTAATTAAGGTGATATTCTAGGCATATTTGTGGTTCTGGAAACTGAGCAGGAGCCTGTGGATAAATGGGACCATCTGACGTGGGAACGTGTTTCAGATTTCGGCGCGGGAGCAGCTGACGCTATCGTTTTCCGTGAAGCCAACTTCACTGGGCAGTAACTGGAAACTGTGAGTACCGGCACGCACCCACCAGCGTGATCTGTGATGATCGTGATGCCGTCGTAGATCATTGGCGATCTACGTGATCTGACCGAGCAGGCACCGCCAGGTCACGATCGCTGCCGTGCCTTGAACCGAGGGCGGCCGCCCCGCTTCCTGCTCTGTGGATTGATGGGAACAGGTCGTGACTATAGCGTCTCCCGCTAGACACGACAGGTCAAAGGGCTCCATAAATAGATCAGGCGAAGCAATGATTATTGATAAATGTTGCTCCTAATTTAATAAATTTTTCATGAATTATCTACTGAACTCTTATATAACATGAGCTGAATTGAATTGCAGTAGGGAATCATGAAATGCTTATCGTATTAATTTGCAAATTAGGATAACAACTAGGTAATGAGTAATGACCTATACGTAACATTGGTGGCAAGCATGACGCATAGCTTTATAACATTTTCGCTGGCCATAGTATCTGTTTTGAGGACAGGCTATCAACTATCAAGCGAATGCATAAACTTGACGAAATCAAACTATGTACCTAAACGTCTTTTGGAACAAATATCTTCATATCATCAATTTATTTAAATATTTTTATAAAAAAATAACGTGTGATAATTTGACAAATGAAACAGGTACGCATATAAGCAATTAGAGCAACCCAAGATTACAATGCTAAGAATTAAGTATGAACCAAATTTGACCATAGCGCACTAAATATGTCTGCAGATAGCCATTGTGAAAGCGTCTATTACCCCTTACTAGCACGGCTCACAACTTTGTTGATAAAAAGTAGGATCAAAATACTCGTATTTAGGTATTATAAGCTGACTTTTGTGATAGTTCAACTAAGCACAATAAAATGCTTCGGTTATCAAAGCATATCTATGTAACTGAAAATAAGTTCTGCTTCCCCATTCCCAAAAGCTTTAGCATTTTATGTGCCTACGATTCCCTAACGGCCTGTTACCATCCGTGCTCAATATTGTGTCAAAGTGCTATTATTCAATATATCAATGTGTATTTTCGGCTATTTTCCTTTATCATTTTACGACAAAAAACGTTCGCTGATATAAGATGCCTAAGATGCCTACGCACGATGCTATAAAAATAATAAGACTATGCATGCTATTTATTCACTTCGATAGATAGGTATATTTTAATCGTATTAATAACAGAGATTGAAGGCCTCAATTGAAATTCCACGCCAGAAGCTGCGTTCGCTCGTATCCTCGTATGTCATCACGAGACGTGAATGACGCACTCGATCGCCAGAATACCCCCAGGAAGGCACTGAGGACATCAGAGAGACTTATTCACGTACTTATGTAAACCGCGGGACAGCATGTGACGCTAAGCCAGCCAGCCTCCCCGGGGAGAGAGGGATTTGACCGCAACGGAAGATGGTCCTGTGGCGGCGTGCATAACTGATGCCTCAAACCTGACAACATTGAACCGCACACTGTCCTTGACCTGGATAGGATCCGAGAAAAGTCCCCCCGAGATTTATCGTCTACACCCATCTGCGGGCGGCTTCCTCTGTCTTCCGCGTGACGTTCACCGGTGGTTTTCTCCCCTCATACACAATGCCAGCAGTCAGTCCATAAATTGAGATCGTGTAAAGTTGTGCGGTTTCCTGATCTCCTCAGTTGGCTTCCTGTGCTCCCAGGGAAAACCAAATGCCACACTGATGACATGACAAGGACGATGCTGCCGGTGTCCTTCTGATCCCTATGTTCACTATTCACGGAGAAAAACCAGTCTTAATCGCTCGTGCCGTGTCCAACGTTCATCTTGATTTTTTTCTTTAACCCTCGCCCTGGCAGGGGGGTCGATGAGACCCCCCCCCTTAAATTTTTTTCGAAGATAGCGTAAAAACGGCGGCAAATTTGGCACAGCCTATGGGGCAACCTTTTTACATATGACCTGAAAAATTCAGGTCCGTGTGACCTTGGGTCAGGTCACCAGGTCAGAAAAACCGGAACAAGGTCATGGTCAAATTTCAATTTTCTTTTTGCACCTGTCCAACTCACAGTTCTGGACTGATTTCCTTCAAACTTTCAGGATGTGCTAAGCTCACCGAGTTGTATAACATATGGTTCGGGTTTTTTTTAGGTCACTGACCCGAGGTCAGTTAGAGGTCATTACGTCGTAATGTTAAGCCTATGGGAAAATACTAAATTCGGAAAATAATGGAGATATCCACTTCGCTCTATCACTTTTGTGCTTTGAAACCACATTAATTAACAGCAGGTCACTTGGTGCTTCTTTGTTTGGTGTACTTATCCATGGGTCAGGTCAAATGAGGTCTACTGAGGTCAAATGACGTTTTTGCCAATAACTTGGCACATAATGACGCTAGAGCTTAAAAATGGTGTCATTGTGTTCCTGGTGATCAGCCGAATCGAATGATATGCGATATGATGCAATTTGGTTAACTTGAACTTTATTAGGTAATTAATTTAAGTTTACTTAAAAATTAAGAGAAAAACTTTAAGTACACTTAAGCAAGCCAAAAAGTATATCATTCGACGCGTCTTGACGTGCTGAGTTCACTGGTGCTTTTCTTTTTGCTCTATCTTAATTAGATCAAAAAATATAAGTGAAAAAAAAAACTTTTGACCTGTTTTTAGCGAAATTTTTACATTTATATCCCCCAAAACCCCCTAAATATTGACCCAGAGCAACCAAATTTGCACAAGGGCGAGAACTCCAGGGGGCCCACCTACCTACCAAATTTGGTGTTTCTAGGTGCCATAGGAGCCAATCGCGAGGGGGGTCGCATCGACCCCCCCTGCCAGGCCAATGGCCATGTGTTATGAAAAATGCCCTGCCAGGGCGAGGGTTAAACTAGTCTATTGTTCAATTTTATTTACTCGAGCTGATTCCCTATGTCACCACATTGATGAAGCATAACATCAGAACTCGTTTCAATATGGAATGGTTTTATGTCGCTTTGAATCCCACAAATTGTTCCCCGACTTTGCCTTCGATGGATTCACCACCATCGGTCATAAGCTTCTAACTCGTATCACAACCAAAGCAATCGTTCTTCTCTCACCCCTGACTTGCGCTATCGGTGGAACACACCTTCGCTGCGCCAGCGCTTGTGACGATCTTTCTCCAATCCCCTACAGAGACGACAGGAGCACGCCTCCCCCGCCGGCGACCGCAGAGGTCAAGGAGCTCTCCTTCAGCGTCAAGAAGCTGAAGAAGCGCGACTCGGAGCTGTCGGCGGGCTTTGTGATCCAGTGCGATGCCACCGGCTGTCAGCTGAGGAAGAAAATATCGCCCTCCGTGACACAGCCCTCCGCCGGTAAGATCCTCTAGATTTATGAGCATCTGTAGAGTTTTTTTTCACGAAGTCAGACCCGGATATTTCTTATAAATATATTGGAATAATGACGAGTTAAACCTGGGTCGAGCAAAAGTGGTTGGGTCGCATTCAGCGACTTGAAGGTGCTCACTTGATCGTTTTTGGCCCCAGAGGCCCATGTTATGTTTGAGTTTACCGGCGCAGGGGAGCGAGACGGCACGTATATTTACGTGTACCGAGCCCCAGTTCGCGATCGTTATGTTTCGGTGGCGCCTGTGCGTCAATCTGACCGGGTCGTGCAGGCCATATCCATCCACCTCGCAGCCCCGCCCTCAAGGCCCTGATTCCATGGCCATGTCAACATTACCCGTTTACCTGAGCCCGTTGACCTGCGTGTTTGGGGGACTCGGCGGGTCGAGCCGTCCCAGGCAGACCCGCCGACCGGCGCAGTGACTGACGGATCTAAATCTCTGGGGCGGGTCGGACAGGTCACGGAGGTCGTGAATACTCACACCGTGCGGTCGAGGGGTGAGAACAGACACATTCGCCGGAGGGCTCCGCCACAGTGTGGCCTTGTCATACCTCAAACGGCTGTGGTATTTAACTATCCATATTACGCAACAGGGAAAAACTGCGCAGTGTGCGGGGCGCTAATTATGGCTATAATTTGAATACACTCAGCGATAGTGACCTTGATTTATGGATTATGGAGCTATCAAGCCGTGTCCCTCCACTGACGGTCTAATCTCCCTCTCGTTCCCAGCGGACGACGACGCCGTATCGTCCGTATTCGGAGCCGGTTCCAGCGTCATGTCTCCGTCCTGCGAGGACACGATCTCGGTGGCCAGCGGCGAGACAGACCTCAGCGCCTTCAGCAGCGTCTCCCACAGCACGGCCGCCTCGTTCGCCACCCGGCCGCCGTCGGCAGCCTGCAGGTCAGTCCGAGAGCACAGCGACACAGGGGGCGGGACATGGGGCCGCCCTCGGCAGACACAGGGCGGGACCTCGGCGGGACACAGGGCCGCCCTCGGCAGACACAGGGCGGGACCTCGGCGGGACACAGGGCCGCCCTCGGCAGACACAGGGCGGGACCTCGGCGGGACACAGGGCCGCCCTCGGCAGCCTGCAGGTCAGTGTGAAGGCTCAGCGACACAGGGGCGGGACACAGGGCCGCACGGCCGCCGTCGGCAGCCTGCAGGTCAGTCCGAGAGCACAGCGACACAGGGGCGGGACACAGGGCGTTTCTGACAACCCTCGTCACCCTGCAGTTCAGTCAAGAGGCACAGGTCAGCCCAGCGGTACGTGACACAGGGTTGGGCATACCGGTTTTGGGGGGAACTGGGACAAAGCGCAAGCCCACGTCTATAGCTTCAGTATGGAAAAGAAGGCTGCTCTTAGTTGAAAGGGCGCTTCGAAAAGAAGAAGAAATGATAATCTACCCATTCCTATCACGAAGAATGTCCAGTGTCTACAGTAGTGACAAATATGTCAACTTTATCATCCATGCTGGGATGGTCCCTCTGAAACATTTGGGCCAACGATTGCTCAACAACTCACCGCCATGCCTTGTCGTCCATCGTTAACGTGCTCCGTAATGTTCCCGAACATCATGTCTGAAGACGCTCTGTGCCGCCTCATTGCAGCCTGTACAACCCGGATACCCGCGCGGTGGACTCTGACGCCCTGAGACTGGACTCGGCCAAACTCCCCACGGAGAGTTCGAGTGTCATCCGCGACAGAGACGAGGAGTTTCACACACTCCGACACACTCTGCTTCTCGTCTCACTCGCCTGGTCCATGGTCGTGGTGAGTTAGAGAGAGAGAGAGTGAGTGAGTGAGTGAGTGAGTGAGTGAGTGAGTGAGTGAGTGAGTGAGTGAGTGAGTGAATGAGTGAGTGGGTACGGGAGGGAATGAGTGAGAGTACGGGAGGGAGGTAGGGAGATAGAGAGTGGGTTAGGTGTGTTAGTAGTTGAAGGGAGCGGGAAAGAAAAATAGAAATATAGGGAGGATAAGGATAGGTACTCTGTGCCATGTTACTTTGTTTCTTTGTGTGTTCAATGATGCCAAAGATTATGCTTATGCTGCTGGCGCCGATTAGTGAGTATGATGAATATTATTTCTACAGGAGCTGATGAAACTATTACCATTTTTTCAGAGCATGTTTCTGTGCGGCTGCAGCCTGCCGGTCCAGCGGGAGGGCAAGATGGGCGGCGTCTACATCCAGCTGACGTTCATCGACACCATCATCAACTTCGGACAGGGCATCCTGGCGTTCTTTGTGCTCGGTCTGGACCCCGAGGCGCTTCTGATGCCGCTCAGAAAACGGTGAGTGCTGATTACCGACTGCGAATCTAATGTGGTTTTGGGTGTAGTTTGGGTAACGCAATGCTCGACACGGATTATTTGTCTATCGATGGTTGTTCAACCTGATAAGTAGTAGTTTGTCGATTTTCTTCGCCCAACGCTATATCGTCCGCTGCACCTGGTCCCATCCTCCGGTTCTATGCAGTACGAATACACTACATGACCCGCCTTCTCCCCCCCCCCCCCTACACACACGAACCTACGGTACTGGCCCGCTGTCCCATATCTGACTTCCCCGACCCGCCGTCTCCCCCAGTTGGATGAGCCTGCGTTACGGCTCCTCGTGTCTCTCCGGCCACTGGTGGAGACGCAGCTCTCCCAGCTCGGGCCAGGAGGCCGAGCTGGTCTGTCAGAAGTTCATCGATTTCTACCTGGACCAGTGCAAACAGGAGCTGGTCAGAGACCGCAGGTGAGCTTCGGCTGTAGTGGGACGTACCCCAGCGAGCTGCTTAGGAGATGGCTAGGGAACACGGACTACTCGGTTGAAATACGGAACGATAGGTGTCGCTGTAGTCGCGAATATGCAAGGCTCGTCTTGTTGTATGATGTTTTTTTTTCTCGGTTCATAGGCCTTTTGTACGGAAAATGAGCGCGTCTGTGTATGCGGCTGGGCTATGGGTGATGTCTCCAGTTGCTGACGTCCATCCGTTCCACGTTTCCAGGGTGCAGCAGAAGCTGTACCACGACGTGTTCATGGGCACAGAGCTGGTGGACTGGCTGCTGGTGCAGGGCCTGGCCGGCAGTCGGCGCGCCGCCGTCAGGTACGGCCGCCACCTGCTCGACGGCGGCATCATCGAGCACGAGCAGCGTCGGTACGCGTTCCACGACCGGCCCTTCTGGTACCGTCTGGCGGCGCCGTTCGGAGAGGACGGAAGCCTGCAGGCCGAGGCGAAAATCTCCAGCGGCTCCGCGCACCGCGCCAGACCGGCCGCCACCATCGTCAACGTGGACTGAGGCGCGCCGCAAACCCTCCACCAGAGGCCAGGTGGACTGGGACGGGACACAGGTCCTTCGACACTGGCAGCGGGGCCAATAAGGCGCGTCACAGGTTCGCCATCAGATGTCGCGTGAGGTCTCAGGTCTCGGCTCGTCGTGGCGCGAGTGACGTCAGCTGCGACGTCGCTAATGGTCGTCACTGAATGATGTCGACTGAGGTCGAGTGCTCGGAGCGGACGCCGGGCTGGTATTATGTTTCGTTGTTTGACATGTTGCAGGGATTGTGCAGTGTGGACGTGAAAAACGTTAACGCGGGGCTGTGTCTTGCGATGATGACCATTATATTATCGTGATGAAGCGCTGGCTGTTCCGATGTGTGAAAGTTGTTATTGGTTGTTGTCTAGATGCTGTATAAGTAGGAAGTGTATTCACTTGAGGTGGTATTGACTGCTTGGTTACTCTGTGTATGTCACTCTCCACTTTTAGAGCTGTGATTATTGTCTCATGCGCCTTAGGTATACCTACGCGAGCCAGACGCCTAACGGCGATATTGTATAGCTCTCACACAGGCGTCTGAACGGCACCGAGCAGAGTGTCGCTCCGCCAGTGTTAGCGGGCCAAACGGCACTGCAGGGTCTGTAGAGCTGAGCTAGTTTGGGGGTGCACCTCCTCTGCGCCCTTTACTCGTCTCTTTGTAAGCACTCAGCAGGGTTGTAGGCCTTTAGTCGTATGTGCTTCTGATTTGTAATATAAATTCCCAACCTAATTTAAGCGCGCAACTATTTATTGACTGCGACTGCGACTTGAAGTACTTTAATTTTGTAATAATTTTACGTCACTTTCATCATGGAGACTTTTACCCATGACTTTTAACTCAAGCATTGCTAAATGCTGCTGTACTTGACGAGCAGACAAAGGCATCTAGTTACATGTGAGGTAGCTTGTGCTAAATTATTCCAAGCGTAATGTCCTTATTCATACTGCCCTGTCATAAGCTTCATGCACATGCTGACCCCTTTCTACTTGCCGTTATATATTGCTATAACATTGTTGGTGTCCTAACCGTGGTGTTGTACATTTCCTACCTACTGTTTGACGCGGTAAAATTGTACCGAAGCCCAGTTATGTACTTCTAAGCCACAGTTCGCCATGCAGTCGATTGTTGGTAGCAATAGCATGAATATAGTATGACTGAAAAATAAATATCTGATGTTCACAAAAATGATAGATTTTGTTTCGTTGCTGTGATGAAGGAATTGTGATCCATCTACGACAAATATTATCTTTCACGTACACTCGGAGAAATATTTACCCTAAAAATCTGGGTATTTCACGAATACCGAATCGGTACTATATTTACGGGTCCTTTAACGCCGAGAAAACGTTTATATCTACTCAGTCAGTGTTAGACTACCTAAACTGATTGTATCACATGACCTGCTTTATTGTATATATTACAGGCGATATGCTTAGGCCGATCTTGCACTTGTATTAAAGTATTCAACGTCACGTGACCCACGCACCAACACACCGTCCCGCGTCCCGCGACCGACTGCCGCTCGCCGCGGCGCGCCCGACCGCCAGCCGCCGCCAGCCGGGCGGCTGCGCCGCGACCACTCGCCGGGCCGCGCCACGGGCGGCGCCAGGCGCTCGCCCAGGGGCGGCCCGTAACACCCCTCCCCCCTAGCACAAAGCGCACGATGTAACAACGATGATCCGCACAAGAAATACCGCGAACATGTCTCCGATACGAGCAAACAACCACGCCTCGCCACAGAATCAGGCTGCTTCCTCGCGCCGGCCGCGCAGGGGAGGGGAAGCACCGGGATGGTCCGCCATACATTGAGTCACCGAGCTGCTACGGCTATGCCTCAACAGTCAACAGTATCACAGCCGCCTCCATACTACTACTGAATCGAGCCGCTCCTTGCCCGCTTAACGAAACAAAAAAAAGGCACTTGCGCCGCCCCAGAACGAAAGTGAGACACCTCAACACCAAAAGAACACACACATTCAGCCGCTGCTACATACATGCACGGATGCACGGGCCGCCACCCGGATGACCGCCTTTACCACCTGCCCTACACCCGTTAACGCATGCGGAGCCACTTGGGGAATGACAAACTGATGCACCCGTAGCCCCTCTTGTTCAGATGTACGCCGTCCGCGAGATGGAGCCCCTCTGCCACCTTATACACCCGTCGCTTGCCGTGGCGGCAACAGAGTCGCCGCCCCAGCGGGATGACGGCAGCTCCCGTAGCCTTCTTGATTTGGCGGAGAGACTTCTCGAGTTCATAGGCTTGCGTCTCTTCCCATTGTCGGCCCCGATCCCGGGACAGCCGCGGCTGGGTGCCCACGAGTGTGACGTGCACTCCCATCCTCTGTATTTCTCCGATCCGGTCCTGAACTTCTTTCATCAACCGCGTCTTCATCCCCTCTGGTAGTTTGATGGCGTCCTTCGGGTACACCTCGTTTCCTCCTACCCACAGGATTACTTGGGCACTGGAGGTGTCAGGATGAAGGCCATCCAACCACCTCCGCACCTCCATGACCCCCTCAGCCACCCAGCGGCGCAGTGTGTACCCCGGTATGGCCCGGACGGTGAGGCTTCGGGGTGGGTCGCAACGGACGTCTGTTCTGTGCAGGATCGAGTCCCCGATGAGAAGGACGGCTTCCGCGCGACCAGCCTCCGGCGAACCGCCGGACACCCCGTCGGCCTCACCAACTACCACCTCCTCCGGCGACCCATCTGTGGGCGTCTCCTCCCGCGGCTTCTCGTCCTGCAGCCCCATGTTCGAAAACTCCTCGAACTCTTGCGCCTCGACACCCAGCAGCTCACTTAGCAGGTCCGTTGTGTCAGTCTCCACCAGGTCGACCGCCAGCGGAGACAGATGGTCACGCACAGGATCCCCTGCGCCCGCCTCTAGCAGGGTAGTCACGAACGGGGGTGTGGAGACACCGGCTAACACGGCGGACGTCGGAGCCTGCGGCGGCAGATACTCTACAGACCGCTGCGCATCACCCGTGAGCAAGCCGGTCATCGTCGATGGTCCACCAACCGCTCCGGCGCCGATGGGGAGCGCGATGTCCTCCTGCTGCTGGACAGCCTCCAGGGCGGCACGTACTTCGGCCACTTCCCGCCGCCTCTGCTCCCTCTCCTCTTCGAGGGCCGACCATAGGCGATCGATCTCCTGCCGCATGCGCTCCATCTGAAACTAGAAAGCTGGACTCATTCATCGTCCCGCCTGATAGTATGCGGGCGGCCTTGACACCCGCCCGGTTCGCGTTATGTAGTACCCTTGGGGTGTCCCACCCTGCTGCTCCCGATGGGTCCCTCCGGCGGACCTGCCGGCCCTTACGAATGACATGAATGGTACTTGTAAGCCAGTTGTGTGATCCTCATTGGGTATCCACTCTTGGATCCCCGTGTCATGTTCCTGAGTCATTTCCTTAGTCATATCTGGTCCCTGAGTGTGGCGCTTGGTAGTCCCTTCCTGAATGCCAGACACCCGTGGCACAAACTCCTTCAGGTCATTGTAGTGAACCTGACGTACTTTGCCGCGCTCGTCCTGAATTTTATATGTTGTTTCATCTCGCCCCCCACGGTTACCGATGATGGTCACCGGTCCCTTATACGGCAGACCCAGTTTCGGCTTCCCGCCGACGGCGGCCGTGTGATCTCGCACCCACACTTTCGTTCCTGTAGGATAGGCAGTGTGATTGACTCTGCTATCGTGGCGAACCGCCATCCGAGCAGCTGCTTTGGACGTGGCTTCTTTGACACGAGCATATGCCCGCTTCATTGTCTTCAGCCGACTGTTAAGGAACGTCCTGGTCGGGATCGGGTCAGTTTCGGGGCCATACACCACGTCCAGCGGTACCCGAGGCTCAAAGCCATGAATCAGATAGAATGGGGTGTACCCGGTAGTTTCGTGGAGGGACGAGTTGTACGCCATGGCGTAGGACATGACTCCCTCATCCCAGCTCAAGCCTTGGCCATCGACGTATTTCGAAACCATGTCCTTTAGTGTACGCATGAAGCGCTCGACCATGCCGTCGCTCTGCGGGTGATAGGGTGTTGTCCTAGTCTTGTGGATACCGAGTCTCGTATACATCTCCTTCATCATCAGAGACTCAAACTGTGCGCCCTGATCAGTGTGTAGCCTCTCCGGGACACCAAGCTCTTGGACCCAGTCTAGGAAGGCATCCATGACTGTCTCCGTCTTCTGATTTGGCATTGGGTAAATTCTCACGTACTTTGAAAAGTAATCCATGATCACGAGTGCGTATTTGTTTCCTTTTGAGGAAAGAGGCATCTCCGTGATGTCCATGGCAACCCTCTCAAAGGGGCGAGACGTCACCTCAGTCACCAATGGTGCACGCCTGCTCGGGGCAGGCCTACAGCGTCGCTGGCATTGTGTGCACGAGGCGCAGTAGCTGCGGACGTCCTCGTTCATCCCCGGCCACACGAATCGGGCTTTTACCCGAGCGATGGTCCGCCTCCGACCCATGTGACCACTGGATTTGTCATCGTGGGCGAGTCGGATGATTTCAGCTCGAATTGCCTTGGGCACGGCCGCCTGGAAACATTGCTTGCTGGCAATTCCTAACACTCCTGAGCGAACCTCTACTTGTCCCCAGTGCTTCTTCAAGACGGCCCAACCGCTCGTCTCTGTGGATTTAGGCATCCTCCCCTCCTCCCTTGCCCGACACAACGCCGATAACGTTGGATCGTCTTGTTGGGCCTCCAGCAGCAGCGACTCGGTTGATAGTTTCTCCCCGACTGCGGAGGGGGGCGTCAACGTCTTTGTCGCCGGGTTCACCCTGTCTGTCGGCCCTGACGATAATGTGGCGGGTGCTACAGAGGTGATCACGGAATATGGTGACCCTCCTACCCCAGAGATCGCCGCATTCCCTGTCGGCGAAGCCGCCGTGGACCGTGACGGTGTTGGCGAACCGCCAGCCGTCGGGACTGATCCGCCCACTGCTCGCGTCATGCCGGCATCCCCAGCCAGACCACCATTGCCCTCATCGACGGACACCCCAGATGGCCTCCTCGATAGTGCATCCGCATTGCCATGCCTCACCCCACTGCGGATCCGAACCCTGAAGTCGAAGGAGCTTAGCTCGACCGCCCAGCGTCCTCGACGTCCTGTACCATCACGTTCCACCGAGATCGAATCAGGGATGTTTGCCAGAGGTTCGTGGTCAGTCACTACCTCGAACTTGGCTCCAACTGTATATTGCCGGAAATGTCTGATGCCGTGGACCACAGCCCAGAGCTCTTTGTCGTAGGTGGGCCATTTCACCTGCTGCTTCGACAGCGCCTTACTCTCATAGGCGACCACCCGCTCATACTCCCCTGTCTTCTCAGTCAAGACAACGCCAACCGCGAAGTTGCAGGCATCGGTGTACAGGACAAACGTCCCCTTGCCAGTTGGTAGCGTCAGGATCGGCGGCGTGGCCAGGACAGACTTAAGCTGCTCGAAGGCTCCTCGCATCGCTTCCGTCCACCTGATTTGACCGCCCGCCACCGTGGCGTCTCGCAGAGGCTTTGTGATTGCCGCATATCCTTGGATGAAGCGTGCGTAGTACCCGCACAGACCGAGAAAACTCCTCATCTCTTCGTCGGATGATGGATGTGGCCATGCCAGTACCTTTTCCACGTTACGTGGATCTGGACGGATTCCTTCTTCGGAGACTAGGTGGCCGAGGAACGTCACTTCTTTGCGAGCGAAGCGACATTTTTGCGCCTTGAGCTTCAGTCCCGCCGCTCGGATCCGCTCGAACACCTCTTGTAGAGTGGCCAGATGCTCGTCCTCCGTCCTGTTGAACAGGATGACGTCATCCAGGTACACTAGGCAACTTTTTGTGTCCAGACCCGCCAGGATCATTTCCATCAACTTCTGGAACGTGCCGCTCGCATTCTTCAGGCCCATTGCCATCACTCTGAAGTGATGTAGCCCCTTGCCCGTCGAAAACGCCGTCTTTTCTCGATCCTCAGGTGCCAACTCCACCTGCCAATATCCCGTGGCCATATCCAGCGTGGTGAACCACCTCGCTTTAGCCAGGGTGTCGAGAGAGTCGTCAATTCGAGGGAGTGGCATCGCGAAGCCTTTCGTCACCCGGTTCACTGCTCTCAGGTCAACGCAGAAGCGGAAGGTTCCGTCCTTCTTGCGAACCAGTACCACTGGAGAGCACCAGGGACTTTCGCTTTCTTCGATGATCCCATCCTGTAGCATCTTCTCCTTCTGCTTCTCCACCTGGTCACGCACCTTCAGCGGCACCCGCCGTGGTCTTTGTTTGATGGGACTAGCATCACCAGTATCGATCTTGTGTCTGGTTAGATTCGTCTGACCAATATCTCCGGGACGCCAGCTGAAGACATCGGCATATTTCTCGAACAAGCCGCGCAGCCTCCCCTGACCATGTTCCCCGAGATCAGTCAGACCGGGTTCCAGCGCCTGCTTCACGTCCGGATCGATATCTTCAGCTGCCTCCGGTGGAAAACCTCCACCTTCGCAGCTCGCCACCGCGTCAACCACGTCGTCCGGTTCTGGACACAGTTCACACATGTCTCCCAACGAGTCTCCCATCGAGAAGAATGTTCCCACGTCTGAGCCCTTCAGCAGTCGAACGTCTTCTGTCCCGACGTTCGAAAATTGAATGGGCACTGTGCCGTCGGTCGCGACAGCAACAACAGCTCTCGGGATCAACAGCGAGTCCCAGTCGGCTGCAGGGCTCGGCTCCACCATCCCGGTCATGGGCGTCTCTGCCGCAGCTACGCCGGACCCATCCAGCGGTTCAACCACCGCTGCAGCTGTCAGGATCGAGCGACCCGGAATAGTCACCGTCTCTGCCAGAACAACCTTTGCTCGGGAAGCTCGAATCTCTGGGTACGTGGGAAGGGAAATTTTCAACCCTTTGATACGAAAAACTCCCTCTTCGTCATCGATGATGGTGCGATGCTGACAACAGAAATCTCGACCGAGAAGCACGTCATACACCAGACCAGCCACCGCTGCCAGTCGAGAACATCCGAATGTCTCTCCGGAGATCGACATCGGGACGTCACAGAGTACCTCCGTGATCACCAGCGGACTCCCACCCGCTCCCTTCGCAGACCGCGAAGGGGTGGTTGACTTACAGCCCAACTCCACCTTGATGCGCTGATGTAAGCCGCACCTCACCATCGAGAAATCTGCGCCAGAATCAATGAGTGCCCACGCCTCAAGACTACCGATTTTCACCTTGACGGCGGCTGCGGTGAACCGGGACTGGTGAGAAGCAGCTGACTCTCGCCCCACTGAACCAGCTGCCCCTAGTTTTCCGGCTGCCTGTTGTCAGTGGACTTCGTTGGTGCAGTCTGCCGTCTGCCCTGCGCTGAACGGGTCACGTGGTCCGTGAGAGAACGGCAAGCCGCCATCCAGTGACCGCTGCGACCACAGGCTAGACAGAACGGGTGACGTGGACCCCTCCCAGGCTCCTTGAACGGACAGTCAATCCGAATGTGTCCCCTTTCTCCACAGCAGAAACAAATGACGTCACCGGTACCAGGCCTCGGCTGAGCGCGGCGAGCCGCCGGGCAGTCTCGTCGCATATGCCCTGGCGCTCCACACCTGTAACAAGATATGTCTCTCGACAGCTCTGAACCTGTTCGGGAGCTGGCAGCAGCTACTAGTGTCTCCATCGAATACCTGAGATTGGCTATCTCCTGTTCCAACTGAGCTACCCGGCCGTCGCTGCAGCTTGCGTCGACCCGGTCTGGCTCAGCGTCAACCGCCGCCACCGCCGACCGAACGCCTGAACAGCCTTTCTGAGTCACAGGTGACTGGCCAGCCGCCCGCACCGCCTGGACCACCTCCTGGCGCTTGTTCAGCTCGTTCACGATAGACACTGCTTCGGACAGGGACCCTGGCCTCCGGTGACACAATTTGGCCTGAAGCCACTCATCCCGCAGCCCACAGATAAGTCGGCTCGCCAAATCCTCATCTAGAAACTTTCTCGGTTCAGTCGAGCCAGACCCTTTCGACCCGGGCGCTGCCGCCTGTGGTGGAAATGCGGCTCGGCCGAGTTTCTCGATGCGGTCTGCAAAATTTGCCACCGTCTCTCCTGGTGCTTGACGCACCCCACCGAGCGCTGCCCGCGCCTCCAGTGGATCGACGGATCTACCGAAACGCTCACCCAGGTGCTTCCGTAACTCGCAGTACGATTTGTTAAGTTTCAACTGTGATTGCGCACAATCCGAGGCCAGGCCGTCCAACAACGGCAGGAGACGTTTTAACCGTCCCTCGTCCTCGTGCTCAGACGTCAGCGCCTCGAACCGTGCTATCCATCCCTCCCAGTCATCCGTGTCCAGCCCCGCGAACCGCGGAGTGCGTGATACCAGGATGGTGTCATTAAAGTCCATCGTCGGACTGTCCCTGGGGCCCCGAAATATATGCAAAAAAATATTACAGCTGACCCTTCCACGCAGTGCAATTGTGATGTGGCCGTGTATTTAATGTCGACTGCCGTGTGGACCACACGGCGACAAAAAATCACGCCGAGCAAACCGCTCGTCGATGCCACTTAACCAAAATAAGTCATTGATAACATCCGCCGTGTGATCCACAAGGCGAGAAAAAAAAATATGCTGAGCGAGCCGCTCATCAACAGGCACGTAATACCAATAACGGCAATTCAAAAAAATAATAGCACCAATCCTGAATTCATGTGGCTTACCTCTAGTGGTGTCCTACCGACCGCGCCAATATTACAGGCGATATGCTTAGGCCGATCTTGCACTTGTATTAAAGTATTCAACGTCACGTGACCCACGCACCAACACACCGTCCCGCGTCCCGCGACCGACTGCCGCTCGCCGCGGCGCGCCCGACCGCCAGCCGCCGCCAGCCGGGCGGCTGCGCCGCGACCACTCGCCGGGCCGCGCCACGGGCGGCGCCAGGCGCTCGCCCAGGGGCGGCCCGTAACATATACATACCAGCTATTCTTAGTTATCTTTACCTAAAAAATCCGGGTTTTTCACGAGTACCAAATCGGTACTAGTTTTACGGGTTATCCTACGTCCAGAAAACGAGTATCAATACCCTTCATTGTTTCGCATGAACTATTAGTACGTCTGTCAACCAGTGATTCTAGGATATTTCTAGCCTCAAAATCCAGGTATTCTTATGCAGTGGCTACACTATGCGTTTTCTGCGTGCGTTTTTTGCGAGTTTGCGTGATTTGCGGAATATCGTTCTAGAAAGAAACAACATTACGTTTTTGTTATATGTTTTTCATATAAACTTTAAATTAACATAAACGTTTTATTAACTTTTATATAAATATTAAAGAAGTTTAATTAATAATAACCTTTTTTCTAGAACGATATTACGCAAAACCCGCAAACACGCAAAAAACGCACGCAGAAAACGCATAGTGTAGCCAGAGCTTTAGAGTACCAAATCGGTACTACATTTATGTTGGGGAGCGGCGGCCGTTCGTATCGGCCGCCGGCAGTGTGCGCCGGCGCTGCAGGCGCTGCAGCCCCTGCAGCCTGCAGTCCCGGCCGGCTGGTGACGTATGTGACGTGGCAGCCGCTGATTGGTCGGCGGGCGCCCAGCCCCCCTATATAATGCGGCGCATCGCCGGCGGCGGCAGTCGCTGAGCGGGTGGCTCCAGGGGTATGTCGTCCATGTTCTTCCCATGTATTATCCGCCAATCAGCTTAACACTACCGGTGACGTCACTGGAGGACCGCCAATCGGGGCCGGCCGGCCGGGCCCGTAGAAGGCCAAACGCAGACGTTTTCAGAAAAGCGTAAGCCGTATAGATACAGTCGTGGATGGAGTTTTGCTGTGATTCGGCTCTCCAAGAGTGCGCCAGGGTACCAGGACCCGGACAAAGGTCATAGTGAACCGGCATCTGATAAAATCCGCTCACCACTTAGCAGCCGACTTCGACCCTTCAGCCTCGTAAAACACAAAAGCCTGCCGGTCAGCAATCCACCTGCATCTCTGCATCTGCTTACTACCTATATCGACCAGTTACTGCAGCCGTTTTGGAGCGGCTCACGACCGATAACACACCGGGCGTGCGCTAGCCGCCGGTGCTAAGCGCTAACCACTGAGTGCGCGTGGCCGACTGCCGCCCCGATGGCGCTGGCCCCCGGCACCGGCGCGGCGCTGCTGACCCATGGAGGGGGGGGGGGGGGACTGATAATTAGTTGAGCCGGAATTGGGATAGAAGCCGGTATTGGATTGGGATAGAAGCTCAGCGAGACTAAGGGATTGTGTGGTGCCTTCGGTACGCCCCTCAAAATCACCCGTGTAGGGCCCTCAGGGCCGCCGGTTATGAAGCCTTTGGAGGCACTGGTGTGGGCCCTCACAGGCACCGGTGTGATGCTCTCAGAGGCATTGGTGCGAAGCCCCCAGAGGTGCCGCTGTGGGCCCTCAGAGGCGCCGGTGAGGGTCCTCACAGTTGCCCTTGTGGGCCCTCAGAGACACTGCAGTGTGGAGTTGTCACAGTCGGGTGTGGGACCCTTAGAACTGCTGGCTCGAACCCTTTACAGGCCGACAGGGGCTCTCAGAGACCGACAAGGGGCTCTCAAGAGGTCTGCGGTGCCTTCGGGAGCCCTGTGGAGCCCTTAGAGACCAGCAAGGTACACTCAGACGCCAGTGGGGCCCTCAGAGTCGTCGGTGTGGGGCCTCAAAAGTCACCGGTGAGTGGCCGTCCGATGCGGCTCCGGCGTTGAGCCCCCAGAGCCGCCGATATATGGCCTTAAGAAGCACTGGTTTCGGGACCTCATTCAGGGGTGCCGGTTGCACTCAGAGGTGGCAATGTTGGGCCCTCAGCTAGGCACCGGTGTGGGGCATTCACAGCCGCCGGTGAGGGCCCTCGCAGGCGCCGTTGTGGGGGCCTTCGACCATTGGTTTAGCTGGTCATCGCAGGCGTGTGTGGAACCCTTAGAGCTGCTGGTCCCTGATAGGCCGGAAAGGGCCCTCAGAGGCCGGCAAGTAGCCCTCAGAGGTCGCCAATAGGCCCTGAGAAGCCGGCAAGGGGCCCTCAAAGGCCGACAAGGGACACTAAAAAGCCGGTGTGGGGCTCTTATGGAGAGAAGTGTGGCTCTTCGGAGCACATAAGGCGTTCTTCCGCGCCCTGTGGGGCCCTTCTGAGTCGAAAGATGCCAGCGTGGACCTTCAGCCGCCAATTGGCGTCGCAAGGCCCCTCTGGCCCGAGAGGCCCCCTGATCCGATGGGGGCACGTGCCCCCTGCATCCCCTCCCCCGGGTGCAGATAGAGAATGCAATCGGCGGTGCGGAACACAACAATTGCAATCGTTCCTCCTCCCGTCGCGAGGTCGCCCATCCGACCCATATCCCATCCCATGATTGTCAACCCTGGGGCTCGGGTCGGCAATGTACCGGCAAGGAAATCAGCTTTAGGTGAGTAAAAAAGTCATTAAGAGTCATTAGTTGTCGTTATGTTCGTCGTTCAGTAATAGCAACTATACGGTGCCAAATGTACCCGACGTACAGCTTGGAGCCGGGCGCCGCCCGGTCTCCACCAGTGACGTCACGCTAATGCTTAGCGACCGGTCCATTGGAAATCGCGGGATGATTCTACCTCTCGGCCTTGGGTGGCTCGGCGGGTGGGGCTCGGGGCTGAGCGGTTGGCTCGCCAAGAGGAGCTCAGGGATGAGCTGGCGGACAGTCGGTCCGGCATGATGGGCAGTCTGGGTAGGACCGTGTAATGAGCCGATGTGTACAGATCAATACATTAGATAGCTGAGCCGTGGTGTTTACCCGAGAATGCGTGTTCCGAACAACTGGCGCGGTCGGTAGGACGGTTCGGACACTAGCGGACACGCATTCGTTGGGTTGCACCATTTAAAGTAAATTTCTATTTTTATTTTATTTTGAATCGGCTCAGTAGAGTAACGTAACATGGAGAGAGAACTTTTACTTTTAGCTAACTTTGAAAATTTCACGGGGGTAAATAACCAATCATGGGGTCGGTGGTACCGACGGTTTCGGGCGAAAACGATCGCGTTCTCCGAAGAAAATCGGATGCAGGGCCTGGTCAGCCTGCTGCAAGATGGAGCCCTGGACTATTTCGCCTCGCTGTCGGAGGAGGTCCAGAGCAGCCTCAAGCAAACTGTGGCCGCACTGGAGGCCCGTTTCGGCACAGCGAAGAAGGCGATACAGGCGCACGCTGAGCTGGCAAACATCCGGCAGCAGCCCGGTGAGGCAACGCGCGACTTCGCCGACAGGGTGCGTCAGGTAGGCCAGGAGGCGTACCCAGGAGCGAAAGCCGGCGACCCGTCCGTGGAAGCGACCGTCGTCAGCCGCTTCATATGCGGCCTCCGTGAGGAGCAGCTGCGAGTGCGAGTGCTGACGAAGGACCCGGCCAGCCTCATCGAAGCCGTGAAGGTCGCCGACAAATTCGAAAGGCAGCAGGACGCACTCCGAGCAATGCGCCCGCCCAGCGAGGGCGAGGCGTTGGCGGTGCAAGACCGAGGCGCGCCCGGCACTGCGCGGCTGGACGCGCTGGAGAGGCTAATTGGAGAGCTGCAGCGCGATCTGCAAGCCCTTGAGACGGCGGGAAGGCGGGACGCCTACCGCACGGGGCACGGGACAGGGGCGAGGAGCCCCCAACGAGGGCCACCAAACCCGAACAGGCGGGGTAGAGGGCGCCGCTGTTTCTTTTGCAACAGCCCCGACCACTTGGTCCGCGACTGTCCGGCGCGGCACACACACGCAAACGAGCAGGTGGGGCGGTTTGTCACACCCAGTTATCAGCAGGCGGGCCTGGAGTGGGCGGAGCGCCCCCGTGGTCCGTCTGAGGAGGCCGGCGGACGGACGCCTTTCTGCACGTACCCAGGATTTCGCCCAGGAGGGGGCCACCTGCTTTCGAAGGGGCCCCCCACAGTGTATAGGGCCCCCCAGGTTCCCCGGGGGCCCCCGAGAGTCATGAAGAACCTTTCGATGGTGGGGGGGGGGGCATAGTGGGTCCTGTCTCTCCTGCAGACGTAGGTGAGAAAACGCCACGTGTGTGGGAAAACGCAATTCAGTTCTTTACAACCTAATGTAGCATTTGGTTGTGATTTCTCGCGTTCAACTTCATCAAAGTCAATTAAAACGGTCTCTGTAACGGTCTAAGCCTTGAGAAAATGTGGAAAATTGGAAAGTAAAAATATTTTTGCTTGAGGAGTGTGCATGAAACGCACGGCATTTTATGAGCGAGCGCCTCAATTACTGAACATCCTCCAATTCCGGATATGTAGGTATATAATTACGAGCGAGCGAGCGCAGCGAGCGAAGCGAGTCTTTTCAATATAACGGAAAATCTCAGTATGAGCGGCCCGGCCCGGCCCGGCCCGGCCCGGCCTGTAACGCTTTTGAGAGGCTTATATCTCAGCAACCGCTGGACCGATTGGCCTGCGGTCTTTTTTGCTGGGTAGCCCCATCACTTCTACCCCGTAATTGACTACTTTTGATACATCTCAGTGACCGTCGTGGCACGTGCCACGTGAAAAGTCAAGGGTGTTCAAGCTGTTTTGCAAAAGTAGTGATTTTGAGAGGCCCATATCTCAGCAGCCGCTTGGGCGATTGTCTTGCAGTAATTTTTGTAGGGTAGCTGCCAGACTTGTGATCAGCTCAGTTGAGCCGGCTCAAAAATCAGCTCAGCTCATGAGCCGGCTCAACATTTTGCCAAATTGTTGAGCTGTGAGCTGAGCCGGCTCAGTAATGCATTGAGCTG